CCCCCCCCCAAATCTTACAGACATTTTCTAGTTTCTTAACAATGCCTTTCTGTTTAATGCTGTAAACATAAGCATCAAAATGTACAGACAAACCTTGTCAGGTGTATTTCTTAACTCCATGAAAATAATACAATATAAACAGATTTAGAGATTTCATTATTCGAGACTCAGGCATAGCTTGACAAAGGGAGACCAGTTGGTTTACAGATTTAATACATGCGTTTTTTTGTGTATAAAGTCAAACTTTGATATAACATATTTCCAAAAAAGATGAATCTTATTGAAGATATGGAGTTCAAACATATAAATATTCATTGTTATAGAGACTCAAATTGACTTCATTACAAACAAGTTACTTCAGATATCCAACTTTGTAATGATGAAATTGACTGTACATGTATGTGAGATTCAGTCTATTCCAATTTTCATTTCTGTCTGGAGCTTAACTTGAATCTTTAATCAGACCATGCCTGTTTACATTGTTTAAAGGTCAGGGTCACTGCAGAATACTAATTGTACAAAATTTACATTGATTTTAGATCAGTTCCCAGGGCTGATCTGTCGTAATGATAACACTTCAACTCCAATCCTTTCATTAGCCCCCATCCTATGATGCTGTACTAGAACAGTATAATCGGCTTCCGTTCTCTCATTGGTCCCTCGTCATTTACTGCTGTACTACAGTATGAACTGTCCTATCCGCTCATTGTACTCATTTACTGCTGTACTGCAGTATCACTTGGGAACTGCAAGATAAACTCTCCCCACGAAACATAAGTTTGCACTTAGAACCTTTTCAGATGTTATGTCTTTGTTACTGATCACTGCCTCACAGTGGTGTGTTACTGTCGGAGCTGCAGATATATGTATATATGCTTATACACTGACAAAGATGAACATGTATACAAACATAAACAAAATACTGGAAATTTGCATATTTTGTAAGCAATAAATTGGCTGCCTATAGTTTGTGTAAACGCATGTTGTGGCCGTATTAGAAAATAAAAAGCTTACGATGAATCATGGAAGAGATATATGTTACACAGTAAAAAGTTGAATTAATTATTAGGAATGTATGTACTTAAATTAATTGATTTAATTGTGTACATGTTTAATCAATACTTTTCACACCTAATCGACAGATCTATGCATCTGTCCTGAATACTAAATAAGAAAAAGAGTTTCTGAAAATTAGTTGGCTTTCTTCAGAGTTTCCGCTGAATATTGTTTGCAAACATGACAATTCAAGTGCAAACCAGACATACATTCGAAGGGTTTGACAATTCATTTTTAAATGAGTTCTGTATCTCTGTAAATGGATGTGGAACACTACTGAGTTGTTAAAAAAAATCTACTCCTAGGATATTTGGATTTTCAGAAAGTGTAGAAATGTAAACTTTATTTTAACTAATATTAATTACTCTTGTTGGCACCGATGGGAGCATGTGCATAGGGTGTTCTTGTGGAAAGAAAATGGGAGTAACCGAGGAAAACCCACATGGTTGGGGCAGATGATTCGAGACCTTTCTCAAGCAATTTTTCAGAAAATGTTGAAGCAGATTTATAACTAACAATGACAATAGCGATATTAAACATCAGTCACTTGTTAGGACTGAATCTTAATTATCGGTGGTCGTAGGCTAATGACTTCTGCACTTTCCATGACTAAATCTATAGAAAACACAAACACATTCACAGAAAGTCGGAACAAATCACGACAGCATGCAGTGTCACAGTAGGATTGTCAGCAGTGCGAGCGGAAAGTCTATGTTGTTCCCCATTGGAATCAATAGTGGCTGGTTGTAGTATATTCAGGAAGACGCTGGTAAATAACTTTCGTATAGTCTGGCCACGTCCACAATGACATATATCACAAGTGCATACATATCTCACGGAAGAATAATACCCAGAAAATTGTTGACTGTCGAAAAGGTCAATTGTGATGGAGTTATTATTGAGCCGTTGGCTAAAAGATTGTATATATTTGTTGATAACACATCAATTTACTGCTAACTAGATGCTGTGTTAGACCCTCATATCTCAAACAGCAATCACAAGGGGAGCAAAAAAGCTGCGTCAAACACCTGCTGTATACATGATAATAGTTTCCTGTATGTGTTAAATAACACACAGTTAGGGATGTGCTGAACCAGCAGTTTTGAGGCTGGTAGGTACATATGTATTACTTCAATTTTCATTGTCGCAAAAAAAATCCCTCCAGGTTTTCTAAAATAGGTGAAAATTACCCAATGTTCAAAAGTAGGTGAAAATTACCCAATGTTCAAAAGTAGGTGAAAATCACCCCATGTAAATATAAAATTGTAGGTGCTGATGTTTGATTGCTTGTAAGTTGAGTGAGCATGGTGCCATCTCTTAGGTAGACAAGTTATGACAGTGCTATATCTGAAGTCTGTTAAGGAATCCCATACCACTTCCCAAAACTGTAACTAAGTATTGAAAAATGATTTTTCCAGCATGACTGTAGCGTTTATTAATCATTTCTTAAAAGAAAACCATACCTTGCGGGACTTTTATGAGAAATAATAAGGATGAAATAAACAATATATGAATCAACAACAGTGTTATGAGAATAAAAATTCAACAGAGTAAGGTCGGGATTCAAACCCTGGACCTCAGATTGTTATACTGTAATGAGCTGTACCTGGTCAACGGAAGTGTCATGGTCCAACTGTGCTACAGTTATATCCAAACTGAAGTTAATTAGGGGAGGTTACTGTATATAGGAAAAACCGCAGCGCTGTGGGACAGGGGGCCTTAAATCTGTATCAGCACAGATATCAATGATACAATATCAGGTTTATACAAATAACACAAAGTCCAAGTAAGATCAAGATTGTATTGTTCGTTTCATTTGTTTCAAATACAAAAGCTACTATATATATATTTACTAAAAAAGTTATAATCTTTGGGTGTAAAAACATTGTTTCAGTGATTGTTACCATAGGCTTAGCAAAACCACAAAACTGATGACCAAGTGGGTTGTGTAAAACAGCAAAATGCTTTTAAAATTGTTGTTATATGTATATTTAATGGTTGTTATTACATCAAGCTACATGTTAACTATATAGACACATGGTAGTCAAATACAAAATTTTAACAATGAGCGAGCCTGAATTTATTTCATGAAAAACTGTTGCTGAATGTGTCCTACGGTAGTTAGTATGTACGTGCAAATTAAAATAATGGAAATGATCTTTTGTAATATTTTGCCTTGTACATTTTTTTTAATTCCATTATACATGTATTAGAAATATATGAATTTTTGAGCAATATGAATTTTGAAACGAGCTTGATCTTGTTTGTAAACAGAAAAAATCAAAAAATCCTGGTAAGTACTTAATGTGTATATACAACCCCTTCCACCCCTACCCTAATTTTTCTAGCTGTAAGTTTTGAAACAATAAGATTAGTTATACAGTAAACTTAACCATGATTTCTATTTCTTTCAGAGCATGATTGTGGATCAGACGATAGAAAAAGTTTCGTTCTGTGCACCTGATCGTAATCATGAAAAAGGTTTCGCATACATTTGTCGTGACGGCACCACCAGACGATGGATGTGCCACGGTTTTCTGGCCGTGAAAGAATCCGTAAGTGTCAGTAGTATTTTTGTTCATTTTTAAGCTTTCGTCAATTGCACTCTCTGTCAACGTGTGGACCCCAGTTCTGTGACCAGGCTGCCGAAGCTGAAGATAATCTTTAGAAATGATAATGAAAGAAAACATGTGGCACGGTAATGAAATTTAATGCATATTTTGGTGTGAAAATGATTCAATTTAATTAACTTGGTTTTGTGTGGGCGTAGACGAACTATAATAGGATAAAGAGTTAGGAACTAGGAGGATTACTTTAGCAGTAATTACAATTGGTTACGACTGGGAGACAAATGTTACTGTCTTAAATTTAGTTATAGACATCCAATTTTAGGGGGAAGTCATCGTTTGTTTTTTCAGTTTTCTAGAAATCACAAACCTTTGACATTTGAAATTATGTTGAATGAGAAAATGTAGAAGAAATTGTTTATTGAAAAGTAAATGTTTTGCAATGTTTTGCCGATTTTTTGTACAAGATTAATGGTTGCTGAAAAGAAGTTTTATTGACACTCGCACACATTGCAAAAAATCAGCAGACGACGGCCTGGTCACAACCTAGTAAGGGGAACAGACATTGACATCGTCTTCTTTGTGTTGTTAATTCAGCTTTTTAGAACTTTTCTTTTAAAATACCGCACCCAATCAATGCCTAAGATCATGATTTTGCTTAATGTTGGATGTTTTCTCCGGCATTTGGAGACAGGTCTGTGATATATATTTTTTTGCATCAGAATCTCTCTTTGTGCATGGTGTGGAACTGATGTGTATTTACTATTAAGAAATGCAAACTGACTGGTCTTGAAAATGACATTGTTTAATTGTTTAACAACCTGTGTCTTATGATTTTGTTTGTAACATTTCCTATATATATATATGTGTGTCAAAAAACTATCCTAGCGAATGTGCAGGCTCAAATGTCCAAACGGCCATGAGAATGGACAAGTAACGCCTTATTAACTCGTCATGTTTTAGAGAGAAAAAATGTAAACCAATGTTATATTTTTGAAATCCAGTAGATCATATATAGGATCAATGTTGTATAGGTAAGGTCTGAAAGTAAATTTAACATCATACAGCTTGTGTGGTAACAAAATAAATCATTTTCATCTGTCCTAAATTTGATGCAGTACAAGTGTCTATTGGTGTACCTTTAGAATCTTTCAATATACGTGTACTCTATATCTCCTTCCCCTGTGCCTGACACTTCATATGTAAATCAATCAAGATCAAAAGTTACCAAAACTTTTTCTTCGTATAAATCAGAAAGGAGAGGATTAAATATGGTCAATGTAAGAAAACTTTGTCCTTTTAAAACAGGGTCCTATACATGTCTGTATCTTGTGTGGTGTATAAGAAACAGTAGATGTAATCAGAATATGAGGGATATTTACTACCCTAGTAGTGTAAACACTCGGGGAACAATGTCCTGATTTAAATCAATACCTAAAGCTACCAGTCTGGGCAAAGTGTAGGCAAAGAGTGGTACAATATCTTCCCAACAACACAACAATGCTAACTTATAGATCCCCAAATCCTTCACACCTTAGTATAGAGAGAGCTTCCAATGAAAATATTTAACCAATTTCAGTTATCATAAGAGTCAACAGAAGTTTAAAGAACCTTCAGATAGGTGGATCTAGTGGATCTAGATATTGTCTGGAATGTCAAGACTAACTTTGACTTTGTAGGTACTGATGTCATGCGTAATGTTTAGGGTTTAATTAAGTTGTAAGAACTTGTGCCCAATCCTTTTTGTCATTTTCAAGGCAATAAAAATATGTTTAAAAGACAAAAAAAAAAATGTTTGGTATTTACTTGCCACCCCTGAAATTTCATAATGAACTATACCAACCTTTGAATTGGAAGAGTTCAAATGTGTCTTTAGGGGTGAATGAGTTAAACTCACCACCCCCTACTTATAACAGTTAATTGTTTCGAAAATGAAGGAATACCTTAAAATAGAGCTTTCTTCATACATTTATGGTGTTAAATTAAAGAAGAAGCGCACTGCCTATTTTACACTGTTTCTAAGGTCTAAGATTCCTGGGTGTATGCAGCATGCTATATGATTCTATGTATAATATTAGAATGTACATATTTGAAAGAACTGTATACAGTTTTCAGAATGCGGTATGCTCATAGTTATTTCAGAAATGTGTAGGAGTTATTTCAAAAATACATTGTTTGTAGGATTTCATTGTACCCTGTAATAATAACCACCCACAAAACTAAAACACCCATCAATATTTCTGGTGTATATACTGACCCAAAGACACCCAGGAGTTGACATAGTTTGGGACCATTCATGAGAACTATAGCTCATATATGTACGTATATGTGTAAATCTGAAGTAAATACTACCTGAAACGTAGCCCTAACATGAATTGCATTTAATTTGGATGAAATTTCAATGTTTTATTCCCTCCAACTTTCACATGTAAAATGACATTTATTATCATCAAATGCATAATATTATAAGCCTATATTGTTATCAAAAAAGGAACATGTGTAGAAAAATTTATTTATAATAGCTCATTTTGCTTGTTTAGTTGAATGAAACGTTCTTAGGTGTATTACAGATATGATATAAACATCATAAACAGAGGTTGTAGATTTTGGACTGAACAATAGTGATTAGCGACACTTGGTAACCGTGACGATGGTTTTACAGAACAAAACATTGTTATTTACTACGTTCAATTCATTGCTCCACATCCAGCCATGCGAATATATTTCAAAAGTTTCAGATTATAAAATGGTTGATCCGTATACAAATTGAATTCTTCAAAACCTTTCGATGTTCTTTAATTTCCAAATTGCTTGAAAGAAATCTCACTCTTTATATAAAGCAAATGAAAGTAGAAATGATGAGCAACAACACCACTGAATCCGGTACAAAATGTGATGCTTGATTTATATCCTGGGTGCTGACTCCCCCTGGTGTTCTTAATATAAAGAGTGAACATGTTTAGGCTGGACGGGAGCTTTGAGTTGGGTAAAAAGTAACCAAGAATATATCCGAGAGTGTTATTTATAGAAATCAAGACACGGCTAGTGACTTACAAAATTGGTGTTTTTATTTTATCCCAGAAATATCCTCTCCCTTTTATTTTTATTTTTTATTCATTTCTTTATTTTCACCACTTGAAGAGGTTCTTCAAAGCCCGACATAGGAATAGACGATCAGTGAGTAATCGCCATACTGGTCTAAGATCATATATAATACTGTGCACTGTATTTTGCATGTAACTTGTCATATATAATCTCACACCAGCCTTGGGTTGTTCAACAATCTGGTTTTGGGGAATTCAAGGGGGATTTTTTTTTTTAACTATAACCTGCAAATAAAAGGAATGACAGAAAGCTTGCTAGTTTGCCTGGTTGGTTTGGCTTTTTACTTAACATGTGTCTACCAACTCGAGTCAGACCTACGTTAACACTTAACATTAGTAAAACGCATGCTCGTATCTATGTTCGGTCTGGCGACAGCTGGTAGACTCTTACTTCCCCCCTGTTTCCCATTTTCTCTACTAATAGCTAATCAATACTTATACACTGTTACTCTGATCGTGCGACTTCCTTTCAGGATTCTTGAGACAATCTTCTCTCTCGTTTCTTAATATCGTAGCTCCAGTAGCAATGTAGAAGATTCTGAAGGTGCTGCAGCAATTCTTCCGAAGGCTCTCTAGCCTCGTACGTTATTACAAATCATATCGAATCATTGTCTTCTGGCTCTCTCTTGCATGCAAGATTTGCTTGCATTCTGTTGACCAGAATATGGCTACGACCAAGTTTTTTCCTATTGATTATGGAACGGTATTGTATTGCTGCATAATTCCGATGTGCTTTTGATTATTTTCCTGTCTTGAGAAATTTGCCGGAGAAAATTGCTTCAAGTCTTGTCCGTAGGGTTTTCTTAGAAGTCACCGTCTAGCGCATTGCTTACTGCTGAAATATTTGCATGTTAAACACTGATATCTCTTCGGCATGCATTGATGAATATTGAAGCTTTGGGCAGATTATATATCTCTGAGATGTTCACAGAAAAGGGCATTGAGTTGGCTTCACTATCAATAAAAATCGAAGTTTAAAGCCGTAAAACGTATAAAGACCTTTTCTCTTTCAGTTTTATCTGGATTTCTTTTTATTTCATTAAAATGCGGATCACATTTACATTAATTAGTATTCATACATGTTGATTGAGTAATGAACAAAGAGAAATATTCTTTTGAATGATCATGTATAAAAAATTCTAAACTTTAGCTTATCAGTATTTTTGAAGTAACGGAAAATGGTATTTGTGATATTGCGTAACATGAAACATTTGCAGATGATTTCAGTTTGACAGTCTCCTTTCGTTGATTGATTAAAACTTTTCCCAGTCAACCTTTTGGTTGTTGCTCATATTCATTGTTCAATATCTGCAACATAGTGAAATCATCAAAACAGATGGCTTCATACTATTAGACATGTATCTTAATTATGCCGTATTGAAATCGTGATTTCAGTAAATATGCAAATATTTTTTGTGCTACTGGTATTGGGTAGTTTATCCTGAGATATTTATTTCCTAGTTCTGCACAATAGATAGATCAGTAGTCAGTTTTCTTTAGCTTAGAAAGTTCAGCTTTTCCTTTCCAATATTTTACTAACTAATTCTGAATGTCTCCCGATCACCTGTATCACTTTCAAAGTCATCATGACAATTTCTTTGATATCATCGTCATATTTTTACCATCGTCATTCCCCTCATCTTCGTTAATAGTTTCACCATCAAAATGTTTTCGTCGAGGTCATACTCATTGTTTTCATCATTTATGTCATGAAAATCACCTTGTCATAGCTACAGCTGTATTCATACCCGTCCCTCACAGATACAGGTATCGTGGTTCTCCCCCGGGGGCAGGGAACACTTGTACGTGGTCCCCTCCAAGGGCAGGAAACACATGCACTCCTCTTACAAGTCAATGGTGGCGGGGTATATGTGTGCACATGTGTATCTTCAGAAGCACTGACACATGGCAACAGGTATTTGTTACAGCCTCACGCAAAGTACCACTAGCTAGATGTGTGTTAGATGACATGGACACTCCAGGTAAGGATTTTGTTTTGTATGTATGGCGTACCTGTATTTTCTACCTGTACACGCAGGTGCTCAAACTGATTCGCTGCTCCTACGGATGATTAACAGGACAAGCATGCGACTGAGACAGATTTCTATCTATATCTATATCTTTGAAGGTTTTCACTGTCTGTTTTGCTCAGATGACCTGACCAGCGATAAACAGTCATCTGTCACGATCAATCAGCACAACTCAAAAAATAAAGATTTTGTTTTATATCTATCGTGAAATGTTTAGCAGAACCCTGTTATTCTGGACACTTTTGTGACTTTTCCAGATGGAAGGAAAAATCGATAAAAATAATGTAACTCATAAATATAAAGTCTTGAAAAGGAAATGAAACTTAGTTAGCCTGATTATTTGAGTCAAAATAAATGAGGTTCTACTGCAGTTGCACAGTTAAAACCGCCAATTTGCAGGTGAAACATGATTTGATACTTAAAGATCATGATCTATACGATTGCTCCTTAAAGACACCAGACATTCCAGGACAACACAGTAATGTGGTACAATAAGTAGGTTAAGGATTTTTGTTCTAGGCTCAGTTATAGCCAGAACAAAGACGTTAAGTCACATCAATCAGTTAAATCAGAGGATAATGATTTTATGTTCCTGTTCATGTCTGTATGTGCTAATTGGTGAACCATGTAGAACCGTTGAATAAGATTCCTAAATTTTCTTACTTTGGTACATGTATATGTTATCCCCAAAGATTTGCATCAACCAGGCATTAAGAGCTTCAAAAGTGCTTGTAAGTGCTTCAGCAGAGCCTTATAAAGGAGCTTCAACAGAACTTGAGCTTTATTTGTACTCTTCGTTTTGTTTGTCCAGTAATAGACATCCTGTCTGTTGTGTTTTCCTTTTCTGTAAACACTATGGTAGGTTTCACACATTCCGGCTGTAATTTTTGTACACTTCTCTACAATGTCGACATCATGCTTGCCAACTCTCCTTATTTAGGAGGAAGACTCCAGATCTCGGGCCCTTAAATTGAGCATTTTTAACCAGTGACTTTGCCAAACTATTCCTATTTTCTAAGATCTGATGAATTTTTTTTGAAAGGATAGCCCAAACAATGCCATTTAAAAGTGTTATTTTTCCCTAGGGTTTATTTATGGTTTTAATTCTGAGCAAGCGTAATCTGCCCCATGGATATTTCAAAAAGTTGCCAAGAATGCGACATTGTCACTGAAACATTCTTAGTAAGTTCCAGGATTAATGATAAAACAAACCTAACACAGCAGGACTATGTCAGCAAAGTGTCATACATCACAGTTAGTGCCCGCAACACCTATTGGTCGATAGGTCTATGGTAATTGGGGAAGAATGCTTGTACCACCTGCTGTAATCAGCTATTACATATACCTTATCCTCACAAATAACTTCCTGTACAGGGCTTGCGGGTGATCTGTTTATTGTCTAATTGGCCATCTACCCGTAAATTGACTCTCAAATATGTTTACAATTCCTTACTTCTGATAACGTCCAGTTCGTGTCCAACAAGAGCTGATATACAGTGCACACAACCTTTATGAAAATAGCAACTATCTCTGATGCTTTAATTTGGGAAGGGATGGGGTGTTGAAAAATGAGTGCACCTTCATGCTGAATGTGTTTATAGTCATTGGAACCTTTGTAGATATACAGACATCAAACAGCAATAAAAAAGACTCAGCCAAAATGGGTAGAGTTCAAATTATGTATAATATTCCCCTCAAATCTAGGCTGTTTTTTCTCCAAAGAATGTTTAGTTTGTTTTTCTTTGGTTGTTTTTGATGCATGAATTACATAACCGGAATGTTTTACTAACAACAACTTCATTTCACTTAGACGTAAAACTGAAACGTTTCTTGTGCATCCATTTTAGTTGTTAGTGCTGCTGTATGGCTTCCACTTCACACACATATATATTATACAGTTATAGAATGGGTATTAGGGAAATAGCACATTTATGGTCCCCCGAGGTGAAAAACTATTTCCCGAGGCAGCGAAGCCGTCAAGGGGAATAGTTTTTCACCAAGGGTGACCATAAATGTTCTATTTCCCGAATTACCCATTCTATAACTGTTTTATTTAAACGAAACAAATTATTAAAGGCAATTTAACAAATGAATTCATTTATTCATTTCCTTTTACAATTGCAAAGAGAAAAAAATACAATTGGAAGTACTGTATGCATCGTCGTTGATGATAACTTCATTTCTAGCATTCAAGTAGTGTTTTTATAGACTGAATCTCATAGTCACCATTGTTTTCCTACCATGTCTAGTCCCATCCACTTTTTTAAGTTCTGCATAAAACTTGTGTGGACACACGTTCACCTCCTCTGAACTTGCTTGACCCTAATTGTCAACGCTTCGGTATCCGTTCTGTTAAATAAGTTTGAAGTGAGTTCACTGCAGTCTTTATAACAGCTTTTGTATTTAAGCTACGTTTAGCGTCGAAAATCTGCTGTAACTCCTCTTTACAACAACAAAACGGCCGTCATCGGTGGCCCTTTTCACTGTTGTCATTTGGTTCTGAAAATGTGGCGTCACAAGCGTCACGGAAAAGGCCCCGCCTACCAATATTTTCACTGGTTGAAATCTTATAGGCACCGCCTACAAATATTCATGAGGGAGTAGTCCTCTTTCTGGTAGGGAGTAGTCCTTTTTTGCAGAGAGTAGTCTTAATTTGGGGAGGGAGTAGCTCTCAGATGGAGGGATTTAAGTGATTTAAGGGAAATAGCAGATTTTATCGTATTGTTTTTATATAAGGAAAACTCGGTAGAGGTACACAACTGTATAATAAATATATATATAACGTATCTGTCTGGTAGCTACTACAAGTGTAAAACATGATGTAGACAGGGAATGCCATGTAGACGGGGAATGCCATGTAGACGGGGAATGCCATACACATCGCAATGCTAATGTTTATTGGTGACTGATAGCTATAAGAAAAGTTAACTTCCTCTTGTGAAGTTTGTGTGTTGAACATTATTATTTCAAATCATATCTTTCTACAACTAATAGCTTCCATCTTGCTGCATGGTTAATGCATATATTCCCTTTAGAAGCTGCCAGAATTTTATTCCGAAATTATGTACTGCATATAATCTGCTAGGCTTGAAATTTATTTCTTTACCGTTTCTTTATATTCATTTGATATATAAGAGCTGTCAGAATTTAAGATGATCTGATATCTAAAAGTTTTATACTTGTACGCATTTTATGTTTAGCTATTTTTAAGTTTCATAAAAAAATATTCGTTAAGAAGGTTGTGGCATGTATGTGATGAAATTTAATTTGCAACTTAAGTTTGATTTTTAAATCTTCAGTTTTGTGTCTCTGTTTACTCTGTCGGTGTCAGTTTGCATTGTCGCTATTGTCACTCTGGGTAAACACAGAACAATGTCGATGGCATTAATTTCATGTCAGTGTAACAAAGAATTATCTTGCAATTTGGAAACAAAATTATTTGATCAAATTAATAATGAAAACGTGATGGAACATGAATCTGTATTAAAGAAAATACATTTCCATGTGATTTGTGAAGACTGTACCTAAGCTCTGACATTTGTTCCATATAATGGGACGTCAATTTGCTGTATTTGAAACATTTACACAAAACTGCGTGAATTGCCATCAAAGCTAGTGTTAAAATGTGAACAAATCAAAAAATAAAAATCTTCAAAGAATATTAAATACCTTTAAAAAATTCCAAAATTTTGAAAACTTTGAAAACTTTGATTTAGTTTTCAGTTAATTATTTCCCTCTACCCCTTATTTGACTGTTTGAGAGAATGTTCCGTGCTGACCATGAGTTTCCACCTGTAGGGGGAGCGACTGAGCCATGCAGTGGGCTGTGCCTTTGCGATCTGTCTGGAGAGGAAGCAGAAACGAGACAAAGAGGTGACGACAAGTGTGACAGTGACCTACAGTCAGGACCGCACCAGCTTCACGAGAATGGGCTCCTTCCGTCAGACCTCGCTTACAGAGAGGATCACAGACCCGCAGAGTGCCATTATAGCAGGTGAGGGGTCAGGGGTCAGGGGTCATACAAAATAACACCCAGTCATCACTGATGTGTCAGGGGTCAGTAAGGACATGGTATATACCAACTGCAGCAGGTGACATGTCACAGTGTGAAGACTGACTGCAGCAGGTGAAATGTCACATGGTGTAGACCCACTAGCAGGTTAGGGGTCAGGGGTCATACAAAATAACACCCAGTCATCACTGATGTGTCAGGGGTCAGTAAGGACATGGTATATACCACCTGCAGCAGGTGACATGTCAGAGTGTGAAGACTGACTGCAGCAGGTGAAATGTCACATGGTTTAGACCCACTAGCAGGTTAGGGGTCAGGGGTCAGTGGTCATACAAAATAACACCCAGCCATCAGCAAGGACTGTAGCAAGTGACACATCACATGGTGTAGACCAACTGCAGCAGGTGACATGTCACATGGTTTAGACCCGCTAAGAGGTGACATGTCACATGGTTTAGACCCGCTAGCAGGTGACATGTCACATGGTTTAGGCCCACTAGCAGGTGACATGTCACATGGTTTAGACCCGCTAGCAGGTAATGTGTCACTTGATCTACATAATGTACATGATCTAGATGCATTCTAGCAAGTGACAGGTCACATGGTCTAGACCAACTGTAGCAGGTGATATTTATTATGCATGGTCTATCTAGATACACTTTAGCAAGTGACAGGTCACAGGTTTAACACCATTCGCGTATCTAAGGAGGGAGGGATAGGCTGACCCAGGTGGATCTCATTTAACGTCATCAATCAATGCCATTGGAATGAAATGACTTTTTAATCCCTGAAATCTTCTTAGATCTGTATTAGAAAATATTAATGTTTCCCTACTACATCCACATTAGCTGAATCATTATCATGTGGAGGTTCTATAATTTGTTATATTCACTCCGAGTTACTATTTTTGGAAACATCTGATTAATATACACTTAATGACGTCGCTTCAATTGTAACGTCACAATGCTTTCTGCCAAATGCAGCACTTTTCTCAAGACAGGTTGCTTGTACTTTGTCTCAATTAATGATAAAAACATAATGATTATATATCTTTTATAACAATTATGGACGTTGACTTTGGTGAATATATATGACATGGACCTGAAAAGTGATGTTGGCCTATGATTAACTTCGTCTTGGTTAATATCACATTTACAGGTCCATATAACCACCTATTCACCTCAACAAAGGTCCATTATTGATAATTATATAATACTAAGACTGAAAAATCAAGGGTGTGCTATTCTGCCGTTGAAATTATTGTTTGAACCGAAATAACTTTCCATTTTTGCTACAGAGCCAGTCCCTGTGAAAAAAGTAGACAACCCATTTGCTGTTCAGAGACCTCGGGCTACACCAAACATGATACAGAGGCAGGGCTCATTCAGGGGCTTTGAAAATTTACAGGCAGAGTCATCTCCCTTTAAACGCTCCGTTTCCTTACGACTTAACGACTTGCCATCAACTCTACAGCGACAGAATGCTGTCTATGACACATCGCCACCCAAATCATCTAACACAGGTACGTCGGACCAGCTTCAAAACCACAATGATAGGCTGGTGTGTTTACTAGATTTACGACATGGATGATGATGTATCCCAAAAAGATATGTTACAGTCTTCTTTAATTTTGAATACTATATGCCAGGAAATTTGTACCCAGTCACATTTGTTACCCTTCCTTTAACAGTAAAATCACAACATCAAATTCCCCCTACACATTTAATTACTATGTATGTTGTTAACACATGTTCACTATATGATAAATTAGAAAATTAAACTACAGCGAAAAATTCCCAGTATAGAGTAGTAAAACATAACCAAGAAGGCAGGAATAGCAAAACATTTGTTGTTGTAAGCTAAACCATGAATGAGTTTTTTTTGTCCTACCATGAATGAGTTTTTTTTGTCCTGCTAAAGTAAAATATAATAACATAATAGGCAACACCCCGGGGTCTTTCGATACAAATTTGGCAAATGTTTAATCGACCTTTAGGAGAGAAAAACGTTTTCCAGTATAAAGTGGCTTATTTTGTTAATAGTTACACTAATCTGTATTCTCTTGTAACTTAGGTATAAATGGGCCAATACAAGAGATGTCGCCAACTAAAGAGGAAGAGGACTCCATCTCACAGATGTGTCAGCAGCTCACCCGTGGGTTGTCTGCCCTTACTACTGAGGATCCATTTGCGGCGGCGCCATCGTCATCATTCCAAAACCAACAAGCACCTCAGCCCCCTCAGGCCAGCAATGCTCGCCATCAGGCCAATACTATTCCATCAGCAGCAGCAGCAGGCCAGCAATGTGAGTAGAATACTTTGGTTTGTTTAACTGAGGCAAACAAATGATGTATACCGGGAAACATTCGTCTTTTTCGCTCTTCGCACCAATATCGAATTTATCATAACAGCAATTTATATTTCATATATTTATTACATTTTAAGAGCAAACTTAACACTTGGTGAACATGTTTTTTACCAGTGAGGATGAATTTTTAACTGGACGAGAGTTTCCTGTTATACAGCATTTATAAACATTGTCACTTGTTGGTCATGAGTGTTATGTTTGAATAAATCAAGGTACAATAAGTCAATTAAATCTGTTTGTGAAATTTATTGTCTTCTTTTTTGAAAGATAAAAAAAAGAAGTTTGGTTTTCGGTGTGTATTCATAACTTTATCTTTGACAATATATGACAAAACATTCTTTTGATTTTGACAGCATTCACGATGGCAGGCCATGCTCCTGCTATGTTTGCCCAGCAAACAGGTGTGCCTGTACAACAGACCAACCCCTGGGCATCACAGCCCAACCCAGCTGCCAGCAGAGTGCCAAACCAGACAGCAGACTTGTGGCCCCCAACATCTACGAACCCCTTTGCGGGAGCACCTGTTGTCAATGGCGTGCCTTCCGCCTCGAGTAGGTTCCCTCAGCCCCCACCTCGCACCTTAAACCAGACCCATCCCCATTTTCAACACACTCGAAGTCATTCCATAGACACTGGTGAGCTGTCTGCTGGTCACAACTGGGCCATGCAACACCACCAACAAAAACCAACACTTTTAGAAATGTCGGGCAATCAGAGAAGCTTTCAACAAAACGGTAGCCCGTGGTCAAATTCTGGTGCCATGGCAGCCACATCCTCGTCGACGCAAGGAGGCAAGGACGTTGTTGACCCATTCGATGTAGCATGGGCAGCTAAAGCCTCGGGTAAACAGCACAACCCATTTGCATCTTCAAATCCAAAGGCATTTGAGGTCTAAGTTATAGGACATTTGATAGTGTGTGTTAAGACAGAGGTCAAATTATCTTTCTAGGAAAAGTATACCAAAATGTGATATAGATATTGTGTATCACTATGTGGAAAATATTCAAAGTGATGAATACTGTGTATCGCTATATCAGGTGATTGTGTATATATATCACTGAACGAAGAGTACGAGGCAGGCCGTCAGAGGTACGGGCCCATAGACACATCTGTGGCTCGGCCTGGATAGGTCTCAACCTGGACAGGACGTCAACTGTTTGACGAGGAGCAAAGTGTGATGGTGTCTTTTCGTGTCATTTGGAAAGTGCTGTAGTAAGCCAAGGCGAAGGCGGACAGATATTCGTTAAGAAAACAGACTTTATATTCATCGTGAATTCAGAGTATTTACTGTATAGACAGACAACAAAGCACCTATTCATCCATCATCATTATTGTTACCTGGGAGGTTGTAATCAGAGATGCCAAGGTAGACGGGGCCCGATGTGATAAAACATAATTCAGATCTCCAAACAATATGTTTCAGAAAATTTGAATTCGAAAGAAAATTGAGGGTTTATTTATCTTTAGATCAAATGAAGGAAAAATGGATTGTTAGATGTCGGGTGAAGTCAATTGTTTAAAATTATTTATAAAAATATGAAGAATCAGTTGTTTGTAAACTGAAGGTCCTTTGCCCTAGTGCATCATTTTCTGACATGCTTCAGGTTTGTTTGTTGGCTGCGAGGTCTGGATTCGCTGCTGGGCTTCTTCTGTGATGCTATTTTAAGAAAGAGAATAAGTTTCATTTGTCATTATCGCTTTCATCATCGAAACTATAGTCAGCAACACCGTTATTGTTTACACAACATAGCATATGTACGGGCGTAATGATAATAATAACAATGTTGGGGTCGTGTATTATGAAATGCAAAAATATCCCGATATCAACACTGAAGGTTGACGAGGTATCATATCATTTTAACTTTTTATCAAGGTTTGTGTTGAGCATAGGTTTGTTGTAGGACTCATTTACATCCATATTTTAAACTGTTTACATTATATATATGTTATATATATATCAGCTATATATCATTAAAGTAGATTTTAAACCTATCAAAAGACTGTGATTTGCAGCAGGCTGCCAGGGTAGTCTCCCTTGAATGAACTGATAAATGTTCGAAACATTGTCACATATGCTTAATGTAAGACTCTGCCTTGTTGACATTCAAGCACCCCTGAAATTTCATAATGAACTATTCCAACTTTTGAATTGGAAGAGTTCAAATGTGTCCTCAGGGGTGAATGAGTTAACATTCAAGAAAGGTCACTATTTGTATCTAGACATGCATGGATGCTATTCATTTTACTGCCATAAATTGTCTAGAAAAGGGAGTTAATAAGTTTTATAACTTGTATGATAGTTGTTGTAAAATGAAGTTAAATTTTGATAAAATTCTAATTTTAAAGCAACACATCTGAATATAGTCTGCAGGAGTTAAAAGAATTTTATGGAAAAAAAATCAGTTTCAATTTTTACATAGATATCATTGAACTTTACTTTGAAGAAAATTTTGAAATAAAATCTGGTTATACATCTTGAACAACATCCTTTCATCAGTTTCTTGTGACTTTGGCGGCAAGTTAGCAGGAGTCTTACATGGAGCTTGTGTTGTACTTTTCCACGTTAGTTTTAAGTGGCTGGCATATGGTGTTATGTTATACACTGTATTCTTTTTTCTTCAATGAGATTTATATAATTATCTTGAGTAGGGATTTTATTGTTATCTTCTATAATTAGTTATCAAATTGTAAACATGGCTTCCATTTTTACTTTTTATTGAAAAATGAAAGTTTTTACAATTTATCTTATTTTTTTCTTTTTCTTTTTGAATTGAATTTTAGTTTCATTTTTTTCATTCATTGAAAGTTCTCTGTTTTTAAGCATAACTCGTAGAGATTTATCAAAAAAAGACTGTCCATACAATGGTTTTCAAGGTTGTGCAAAGTTGTCTCCCCTTTAGAAGTTTTTTTTAATTGGAGGGCAAAATTTAATAAATTACGTGTATTTAGGTATTCTGGTTAGTAAAAGTGTGATGGTTTGCAATCGCTGCATTTAACTGGACCTAGATTGGTGAATATTGTAATAGGGAGTTATATTCACAAAGATAATTGCAATAAAGATATAATAAGATCACCTTTAATTGTATATATGCCAGTTCAGTATCTTGTATTATCACCTACCATCCATACAATTACTAACATAGAAAACAATGTGTTTATAAGGTCAGTGTTTGTGTATCCAATTTTACTGATACACATATCTTTTTATGATAAATACGGTTGTTTATTATTTGTTATTAAAAAAATAGCTCTACGATTCAACTGATGAAATTAAACTCATGCACCCCTGAAGACACATTTGAACTCTTCCAGCTCAAAGGTTGGAACAGTTCATTATGAAGCTTCAGGGGTGAAGGAGTTAATGAATAACTTTTATCAATAATAAATGCATATTATAATTTTGTTTCAGTACATTTATTTTAATTATATTGAGTTACGTCCAATCTTACAAAGCACTATTAGAAAACATTTAATATTTTTATTTTACTTATGTTATTATATAAACCCAAATCCTCAGTCGATGTCATTGTCGGAGATTTATAGTTCTCTCCGAACATACATTATATTTATACAAGTACATGTAAATAGACATCAATGTTCTAACAGCTGTGTCTAGAAAAGTGCATATGATGGTAAGTCAGGGGGCCAATAGTGTTGAGTGCTTTAGTGAGAAGAGTTTAAATCTGTACATACCGAAACATGGGAAAAGTATAGGAAAAAGTTTTTCCAAGCTGCAATATTTTGACAACACAAAAATATGACGCACCATAACTGTGTTTCATATAGGGACACTTTTATTTTTATATGGCCAATATGTACCTATTCTCTGACTTTTTCAAATCTAATGAATTGAATATGAATTGTGGATATATTAAGATTCTGTCATTTTATAAAGGTTTTTAAAGACCTGATATTATTTTCTTCGTCAATTTTCCAATAAAGCTTTTCATTCTTGTAGGTCCACGGATTTTGTAGGCTGTTTCCCTACAAATCGGTTTTAATTTTACTGAATTTAGTTTATCACATAATTGTTTTCGTGTACACCTTTTTGTGACCAATAACCTTTTCTGGGTTTTTTTTCTTTATATAAATCAAATTCAGGCTTTATTGTAAAGAAACAAAGTTCAACTCAGTTACAGAATCAGCAAGATATTTGCCCTTTTTCTTCGTATGCTACACATATTTGTTTAGAAATCATTGCTCTACAGAAGTAGAAGCTGGTATATATGGCCCGTTACGGGGTTTCTGTGTACAGTCATGAAAAATGCATAGTGTTGTAATGTATGCTCTTGTTGGTTTGTAAGAAGGTGCCCAATCCATTTAAATCCGGAATATAAGCAAATATATTGTACAGGGAAAAAAATCTTTTACAAAAGTTTGTCTTTTTAACTCACTTAAATAACACAAGTGCCAAATGTGTTTTAAAATATTTGTTTTAATCGGTCAACATCATCTTTAATAACAAATAGTAGTGTTCAACATTTGATACATTTTATCCATATAAACTGCCGTTAACCCAGACAAGGTATTTAGTTACCTACATGTAGACTTGTATTTACATCAGATCAAAGATAAGGTTGTATTTCTTATGGCAAGGAAAGTATGTATGAACAGATAACTAAACAGCTAATTAGGGATAGGTAAACAAATTGACTCGCAATGTTCGTCATGTTGGATAATTTCTCGGAAAATTATATTGTAATTTGAAAACCAGCTGTTGGCTAAGCTAGTGGTATGTACACCTGATACAAATCGGCTTTTATCGATGTGTTAGAGAGGCAGACGAATGGATATAGATGTATTATATTATATAGCGTGAGTAATTGATGGAATGAATGAAGAAGGAAGAATGCATGAAAAAATCGGTAGCTACAGCATATGTAGGAGTGGCTTGTCTGATGAAGCCCCGACCTTTGACCTTGTAAGCACTGATTGTACCACTACATGTGTATTTTATCTCTTCTCTGATAAATAAATGAAATTTGATAATAATGTACTAATTGTAGTTGTTCTTCTTTTACTAATTTGAATAAAGATAGTCATATCATGAGTCGACATTACAATGTATCGTATAGATGTTTGTCATATATAGGTCTATAATGTAAACCAGGAAATTTTATGCTGCATTTGAACTTCCGCCTTTTTTCGCTCTTCCTAATAAGGGCAAATTATCATTACACAATATGCAGCATTTACATATGTAGGGCAAAATTAACACTGGGCGAAAACACTGATTTTGTCGGAGGGCGAATATTTGACGGGGAGAAAGTTTCCCGGGATATAATATTTAACAGTTTGCTGGTGAATACCATTACATCATACAATGTAGGTAGTTATTTTATTACTTGAATATGGATGACATATAAGTTCTGATATTTTTAGGATTATAATAATCACATGTGAGGTCTTTTTAGTATTCAGCTATCATAACCCACCTGAGGGTGAATTCATCGTAACAGTATATATTCGAGAACATGCATTTCAAAATAATGACTGTATGATGTTGCAAATTTAACAACAGACAGATATTGATTTTATTTTGAAGTGTAAACGTTTAACTGGGCAATATTTTTCAAGTATACTGTACAAATGACTAGCTCTTACATTTGGCTGCCACTACTGTCTCTAACTCTGTCTATTACAACATTCAAATCCTCAATCCAGAGAAAAAACAACATCAAATTGTATCTGACCTTAGAGTTGCACTGTCTCTAAAATCTTTAGTTTATAAATAAAAGAAAAGATATTCGTATATAAGTGTGATCTCCTGTATGTCTGATTCTAAGGTTGCAATCACTTATCTTGGTTAAAACGGTTCGGGTTGTGCAGAATTATTCTGCGATAAACGAACGCACTTGCAAAATGCAGTTTCAGAGTTTTATGACAAATTAATAACAACATATCAAGAATAATATGTCCTTCTTTTACGCATTACGTGTCCACTAAATTACATAATGTATCCTAAAACATACATGTGGTAAATCAACCTTATTTTACAAGGAAATAATCTAGCAATAGTCGGCACTTTAGATTCATTCAGGCACATCTGGACCCCTCGATATGCATCATGCATATGCTGAAAATTCCTGAGGTCAACCTCTATTCAGATATGAGCCTGTCATTTTCTTTTCTGGTTCAGCTGGTTGAAATGGTTGAACAGGATATGTAAAAGGGTCCTCCTTCTAATTCACATTAATTGTGCTACCACAAGTCAGTCATCACAAAAAAACAAAATATTTTTTTCAAATGTATTTGAAGTCACACATGTAAGTTGTGAGATACATAATAAACACAAGTAGTAAATTAGAATTAATATGCGTATCATTTGATGAAAGTGATCAATATTATGACGTTTTATTATAACATATAATCTGTATCGTGACACACTTTTGTAAATTAAATAAATTAAGATATAAAATGTACAAGCTAGTGGATGATAAATAAAATTTTCATTTCATTATCATTTAGAATTTTTTCCAAAAATAAACATATTTACAACATAGTCAAAGGGAGATAATTTATGTCAAACCATACAATGAGCTTCACTGTAAATATAAAAGGAACACACATATACGACAAATCTATTTGACATTTGAAAGACATGTACAGTATTTGAAACATAAATTTTCTAGATGACATATTGATTATTTTATCCTAAATATGTAATAAAAAATAAATTTGTTTGAAGCATAATTCAATGTTCAAAAGACAATTCCTCAACAGATTTGGGCTGGTTTTACCAGATATTTCGGCTCATGACAAGATAAAAATAACCAGATCTGGAGTGAAAATATCAGAAATAACTACTGTATAATAGAAAGTTTTGCTGCAGTTTTATTTTTTCATTTTTTTTGCCCGCTGTAATGAGGGCAAATTTATTATTACACCGAACATTACATTGTATTATTAAATGTTCAGGGCGAAATTAACATTAAGATTGGGCAAATATGGATTATTCTGGGGAAGGGCAAAAAATTCCCGTTATCTCAAGACATTCAAAATGATAATCTTGTCTTGTGTCATGTTTCAGATAATCCAGTGCAACATGAACAATTTTTGCTGTCATGTGGCTACAATGTTATGCTCTTTTGACTAGCTAAAAATATCAATAAAAGTAACTGATAAGCCGTTTCTGGAGCATTTCTCATTGCTTAGAATGACAAAAAATTTTGCTATGCATTATGACAGGATCATGTTGTCATCACTGTTTTATATCCAGATATGGCCTATCGGGAAATTTTCACCCTTTTTTTAACCCTCTGGAATGAAAGTGTATTAAGGCGAATTTATCATTACAGCAAATATTACTAAACAATATACATAGTAATTAAATGTGAAGGGCGAAGTTAACACTGGGCGAAAATCGATTTTATCGACGTATGGCAGCAGTTGAATATTTTTATTTTTTTGGCCCACTGTAATGAGGGCAAATATCATTACTCTGAACATTACATAGTATTATTAAATGTGAAGGGTGAAACTTGGATTCTGTGCTCATGCAAGCCTAATTTCTTTTTTTCTGCGATAAATCATGATAAAAATCACATTTTGTTAAAGAATTTTGGAGAGACTAAAATCCGAATACTATTATTTTCAATGTTTACACTTTACAAACAAGTTGGTTTGGGCACAGAATTTAAGCTTGAGCATGAGAACAGTTTTGTAGATACAGGTCTAGAATTTACAATTTATAGATTGTGGCAATTTCAGTAAGTTTTGTTATCAAAAGTTGCATCTGCGTCAGTATTGAAGCTGATCAGGTCCTCCTTTCTAGCTTCCATGTTATTGATCAACTCATCATCATCATTATCAGTCATGAGGGCTAGCCGGAATTGTCTGTAACAAATCAAGGAGTGAAAACACAGTTACATTGTGGCTGTCCCTCACAAAGTTACACTTTTATTATTAGCAGTAAGTACTTGTCATAGCTAGCTGTCAACCCTCCCCCATTAGGAGGAAGACTCCCTTATTTTGATCAAAATTTACCAATCTCCCTCGAAACTTCCTCGTTCAAGTCCAAATGAATGCTTTTGGGAGTTATTTTGATACATAAAAAGGTGAAAGATAAATTGAGAAAAGCCCTTAGTTTAAACATATTTTATAGTACAAATATACAAATGGATTGGACAACAAGTTATTACAACTTAATAAAAGTCCTCTCCTAAATACATAGGGTAAATACAATGTATTTATGTTTTTTGGGGAACGGGAGGAGGATAGGGTGGAGAAGGAAGAGTATGGGGTGGGGGATAGGGAATGGGGGGTTACCTAGAAAAGAAATCGTGTAAACTGCAAAGCCCTTTCAGTCAATCGCGTTTCACACACTTTCTCCCTCATTGGAAATGTGGAATGAGAAAGATCTCCATCATTAGAAATGTGGAATGAGAGAGGTCTCCCTCATTGGAAATGTGGAATGAAAAAGATCTCCCTCATTGGAAATGTGGGATGAGAAAGATCTCCCTCATTGCAAATGTGGAATGAGAGAGATCTGCCTCATTGGAAATGTGGAATGAGGGAGATCTCTCTCATTTCACATTTCTAATGAGGGAGGTCTTTCTCATTCCAGATTTCCAATGAGGGAGATCTTTCTCATTCCCCATTTCCAATGAGGGAGATCTATCTCATTCCACATTTCCAATGAGGAAGATCTTTCTCATTCCACATTTCCATTGAGGGAGATCTTTCTCATTCCCCATTTCCAATGAGGGAGATCTTTCTAATTCCACATTTCCAATGAGGGACATATTTCTCATTCCACATTTCCAATAAGGGAGATCTTTCTCATTCAACATTTCCAATGAGAGAGATCTCTCTCATTCCACATTTCTAATGAGGGAGATCTCTCTCATTCCACATTTGCAATGAGGGAGATCTTTCTCATCCCACATTTCCAATGAGGGAGACCTCTCTCATTCCACATTTCCAACGAGGGAGATCTCTCTCATTCCACAGTTCCAATGAGGGAGATCTCTCTCATTCCACATTTGCAATGAGGGAGATCTTTCTCATTCCCCATTTCCAATGAGGTAGATCTCTCTCATTCCACATTTCCCATAAGGGAGATCTTTCTCATTCCCCATTTCCAATGAGGGAGATCTCCCTCATTGGAAATGTGGAATGAGATAGATCTCCCTCATTGGAAATGGGGAATGAGAAAGATCTCCCTTATGGGAAATGTGGAATGAGAGAGACCTCCCTCATTGGAAATGTGGAATTAGAGAGATCTCCCTCATTGGAACTGTGGAATGAGAGAGATCTCCCTCCTTGGCACTGTGGAATGAGAGAGATCTCCCTCGTTGGAAATGTGGAATGAGAGAGCTCTCCCTCATTGGAAATGTGGAATTAGAAAGATCTCCCTCATTGGAAATCTGGAATGAGAAAGACCTCCCTCATTAGAAATGTGAAATGAGAGAGATCTCCCTCATTGGAACTGTGGAATGAGAGGGATCTCCCTCATTGGAAATGTGGAGTGAGAAAGATCTCCCTTATTGGAAATGTGGAATGAGAGAGACCTCCCTCATTGGAAATGTGGAGTGAGAAAGATCTCCCTTATTGGAAATGTGGAATGAGAAAGATCTCACTCATTGGAAATGTGGAATGAAAAAGATCTCCCTCATTGGAAATCTGGAATGAGAAAGACCTCCCTCATTAGAAATGTGAAATGAGAGAGATCTCCCTCATTGGAACTGTGGAATGAGAGAGATCTCCCTGATTGGAAATGTGGAATGAGAAATATGTCCCTCATTGGAAATGTGGAATGAAAAAGATCTCCCTCATTGGAAATGGGGAATGAGAAAGATCTCCCTCATTTGAAATGTGGAATGAGAGAGATATCCCTCATTGGAAATGTGGAATGAGAAAGATATCACTCATTGGAAATGTGGAATGAGGGAGATCTCTCTCATTTCACATTTCTAATGAGGGAGGTCTTTCTCATTCCACATTTCCAATCAGGGAGATCTCTCTCATTCCACAGTGCCAAGGAGGGAGATCTCTCTCATTCCACATTTGCAATGAGGGAGATCTTTCTCATTCCCCATTTCCAATGAGGGAGATCTCCCTCATTGGAAATGTGGAATGAGAAAGATCTCAGGTGTGGAATGAGAAAGATCTCCCTCATTGGAAATGTGGAATGAGAAAGATCTCCCTCATTGGAGGTTTCAGAGGTTCACACCTATGACTTGTTAGAATAAAGACGGTTATCAATGTCTATTTTTAGGTCACCTGAGCTTTGCTCAAGTGACCTATTCTAATCGCTTTTCGTCCGTCCGTCGTGCGTCGTGCGTCGTGCGTAAACTTTTACATTTTCAACTTCTTCTCAAGAACCAGTTGATGGATTTTTTTCAAACTTGGTGAGAATTATCCTTGGAGGTAGATGGTTTCAAATTGTAAAATTGAGATTCCTACCCCAACCCCTGGGGCCAGGGCGGGGCCCCAAAGGGAAAATTAATCAATATTTCAAAAATCTTCTTCTCCAGACTCAGAGGTACTACACTGATTTTCTCTACGTGGAAAGAAAGATCATCAGGGGCTTTACTTAAATTGTAAATTTCAGGACCCCCGAGCTATCCGTTCTCCCTTGGGGAGGGGGTAAAGTTTACTATAGTTTATATAGGGAAATAACACTTTTGGGTATATTTTGACAACTTTCTGTAGGAAATTATTTTTACTTGGTGAGAATTATCCTTGGAGGTAGATGGTTTCAAATTGTAAAATTGAGATTCCTACCCCGACCCCTGGGGCCAGGGCGGGGCCCCAAAGGGAAAATTAATCAATATTTCAAAAATCTTCTTCTCCAGACTCAGAGGTACTACAGTGATTTTCTCTACGTGGAAAGAAAGATCATCAGGGGCTTTACTTAAATTGTAAATTTCAGGACCCCCGAGCTATCCGTTCTCCCTTGGGGAGGGGGTAAAGTTTACTATAGTTTATATAGGGAAATAACACTTTTGGGTATATTTTGACAACTTTCTGTAGGAAATTATTTTTACTTGGTGAGAATTATCCTTGGAGGTAGATGGTTTCAAATTGTAAAATTGAGATTCCTACCCCGACCCCTGGGGCCAGGGCGGGGCCCCAAAGGGAAAATTAATCAATATTTCAAAAATCTTCTTCTCCAGACTCAGAGGTACTACAGTGATTTTCTCTACGTGGAAAGAAAGATCATCAGGGGCTTTACTTAAATTGTAAATTTCAGGACCCCCGAGCTATCCGTTCTCCCTTGGGGAGGGGGTAAAGTTTACTATAGTTTATATAGGGAAATAACACTTTTGGGTATATTTTGACAACTTTCTGTAGGAAATTATTTTTACTTGGTGAGAATTATCCTTGGAGGTAGATGGTTTCAAATTGTAAAATTGAGATTCCTACCCCGACCCCTGGGGCCAGGGCGGGGCCCCAAAGGGAAAATTAATCAATATTTCAAAAATCTTCTTCTCCAGACTCAGAGGTACTACAGTGATTTTCTCTACGTGGAAAGAAAGATCATCAGGGGCTTTACTTAAATTGTAAATTTCAGGACCCCCGAGCTATCCGTTCTCCCTTGGGGAGGGGGTAAAGTTTACTATAGTTTATATAGGGAAATAACACTTTTGGGTATATTTTGACAACTTTCTGTAGGAAATTATTTTTACTTGGTGAGAATTATCCTTGGAGGTAGATGGTTTCAAATTGTAAAATTGAGATTCCTACCCCGACCCCTGGGGCCAGGGCGGGGCCCCAAAGGGAAAATTAATCAATATTTCAAAAATCTTCTTCTCCAGACTCAGAGGTACTACAGTGATTTTCTCTACGTGGAAAGAAAGATCATCAGGGGCTTTACTTAAATTGTAAATTTCAGGACCCCCGAGCTATCCGTTCTCCCTTGGGGAGGGGGTAAAGTTTACTATAGTTTATATAGGGAAATAACACTTTTGGGTATATTTTGACAACTTTCTGTAGGAAATTATTTTTACTTGGTGAGAATTATCCTTGGAGGTAGATGGTTTCAAATTGTAAAATTGAGATTCCTACCCCGACCCCTGGGGCCAGGGCGGGGCCCCAAAGGGAAAATTAATCAATATTTCAAAAATCTTCTTCTCCAGACTCAGAGGTACTACAGTGATTTTCTTTACGTGGAAAGAAAGATCATCAGGGGCTTTATTTAAATTGAAAATATCAGGACCCCGAGCTATCCGTTCTCCCTTGGGGAGGGGTTAACGTTTAATATAGTTTATATAGGGAAATAACACTTTTCGGTATATATTTTATCCATTTTCAGCAGAAAATTGCTCAAACTTAGTCAGAATCATCTTGGGTAAATGAGAGTTTTACTTTGTAAAATTAGGATTCCTGCCCCATCCCCAGGGGCTAGGGCGGGGCCCCAAAGGGAACATTTACCAATATTTTCAAATTCTTATCCATTGATGACATGACAAGTATTGTATTTCACTTAGTTTACATGCTGATTTCCACATCACATCTAAACAATAAAATAAAGCTACCAGTACCTATGATATAACTCAGGTGACCGCTAAGGCCCTTGGGCCTCTTGTTTTTATTACATTTCCCTGGCTGATTGCAACCGTATTTCTATTTTTAGAAACACTCATTTTATAAATAGCCATATTGTGTGGATTCGATTTTGATCACACACCCTAAGTTAATGATATTTTTTTTAAAGTGTGATGTGACAGTGTGAGAGCTGATCAGAACACAGAACAAATATTCTAAAATAAACATAAAAAATAATATTGTATTTATATAACTTACATGTACACATCCTCAAAATTCTAAGGCCTGTATTCATGAAACCGTTCTCATGCTCAAGCATGGATTTTGCACTCAAACCAGCTTTCTTGTAACTTGTTTTAATCATGTCACATGGTCAGATAGTCAATTGAGAACATTTAAGCTAAAATGAGGCTTGCAGTTTCTCCCAAATTCTTTAAAAAATGTTGAAAAAACGTGACTTTTTAATTAACTAATCACCAAGAACAAGAAATAAGGCTTGAGCACAGAATTTGAGTTTGAGCATGAGAACAGTTACATGAATAAAGGCCTTAGAATTTTGAGGATGTGTACATGGAAGTTATATAAATACAGTATTGTTTTTTATGTTTATTTCAAAATATTTTTTTCTGTGTTCTGATCAGCTCTCACACTGTCACATCACACTTTAAAAAAAATTTCCTCATAAACAAAACAAAAAAAGTCTTGTACTTGCATGATCAGGACTACCATTAGTACTACAGAACGAAGTTTCTCAGTCATACTTACAGAACTCCCTTTCTCTTTCTCTTCATTATGACGACCAGGACACCGAAGAGGATCAGGAACACGACCAGACAGGAAGCTACCACAGCTATAGTAATCATCACGGCTTCTGCAAGGTCACACAAAGGTCAAAGTGTAAGTCATGGACAAACTAGAGTTTTTTCTGCCCAGTGCTTGCATGGGAACAACATTTTTCGAGACTCAAAATAGATAGACTTTGTATAACAGGAAGACAACACAATATTCTTTAACTCATTCATCCCTACATATTTAACCCTTTCACCACTGTAGACCATAATGGACTTGTCCAGATAAATGTATGGGAGAGTCTACTTAAGTTTCCTATGGTTAAACAGGTTAAACTGGACTTGCATGACCATTCTTTGATCTGGTAAGGTTCAAATGTGACATTAGGGATGAATAGGTTAATCACACACAACACAATGTTCTGTAACTCATTTACCCCTACATATTTTAAACTGGACTTGCCCAGTCTTTGATTTGGTCAGGTTCAAATGTGACTTTAGGGGTGAATGGGTTAATCACACAAAACACACAGATAGACAATACTTAACTCTAAATAAATCTACCACAGATCAATAGCATTGAGCTCTAAACCTGCCAGACAGACAACATTTAACTTATGTTGGTGAGACTGGGTGGGCCTGTTGGTAAGTGGAATATAGGTCAAGGTGAAATAGTAACCGTGACCTCTAGATGTATTACAGAAGTACATTTAGAGGTAAATGTGACTTTGGGCAAATTTATGAAAAATCAGATGCTTTCATAAATTCATACTGTATTTGGGGTGAACAACAAATTACATGTACACAAAGTTTGGTGACCTTCATAAAATGTAAGGAAATTAAGACCTATTCAATTTCATTTATTGGTCAGTGGAGAAAAAATATAGATCACTCTGACCTAGATTAATATACTGGGCACCATAACTTCACCTCTAGATATAACAGAAGACGTTTGGAAGAACCTGTTTGAAAATGTGCAGAAATGTCAGCCTGGAAGCTTTCCTGTGCTTCTCAATGGATCAGAAATATAGGTCACTGTAACCTAGTTTTAGAGTGCTACACACCTCCACTAGATGCAACAGCTCATGCATCTGTTATATCCAGGGGTTACGCTCACTAACACTCTCGGCACCCCTTGAATATGTCATAGCAAAATTGAAGGTGCATGGCTAGCTGTTTGATTGGTCAGGTAAAACGCCTGACCAATTATTCGACTGATACCTGTTTTTTGAAGATTACGGAGGAGCAACACTCGACTTCAAAGCCAGTAAGTTTAACCGTTACGTTACGCGACCGCGAAATCCTTTTGGTTTACATCAAAGAATCAAACTAGCCTTCTTGTATCATCCACTAGGTGGCGCACACTGTGCCTTCAATTTTGCTATGACATATTCCAGGGGTGTAGAGAGCAAAAGTGAGCGTGACCCTTGGATATCGTGGATGCAGCTCATGGTGTTTGGTCTACCTGCATGCATATTACAATGGATCTATGGCCTGCCAAGAAACAACTATTACAGACAATGGACATACAGATATTTTATGACTTACTGGAACTGTTGTCATCCTTGCTTGGTAGTGAATGTGGAATTGGACTTTGACAGATGTTTTCACTCCCGGGGGTACTCAATGTAAGTAATTTCGTCACTTTAAAGGCACTGGAGTTTCGAAGGTTGCCAGAACATCGACTCAAAGTCATACCATTGTCAAGGTCACTGGAACAAATATAAACATTAAAGAGTATTACAGTATATTTGTGACAATCTATTATAAATGATATTCCAAGAACTATTTCATACTTTATGCATATTCATTTGTGATTTTTATATACATGTTTATTATCTTTCCACAGTATTGTAACAGGACAGAAAAAAAATGGTCGAACCAAGATTTGAGCCCAGAACCTCTAGATGGATACCTAAGCAAGTTATCTGGTCGCTGATGATCAACTAAGTTCAGATCCCTTCAAATAATTTATTTCCCTGAGAATTTGCTCCTGGAGAAAACATGAGTACACCAAAAGATCAGTCATTATCTTATGAAACACTTGTTGTAAACTACTTTATTTTCACTTGAACTTCATTTCCTAAACTATGCCCTTGTTTTATTTATAATGATTCACAACTGAGATGGTGTTATTTCATGTTTATAGTAATTATGTTTGCAAATTATATTTGTTAAAGTTTAAATTTGCAAATGAACTTCCTCACCAATTGAGGTGAAAATTATTCTCTTGCAATAAATATATTTGAGTTACAGTGCTGGAACATTAAAACTCTGGTTGTATGCCAACCAAGCCATCTTAGCCATCAACCCTGAGTCCAGATCCAAAGAGTACTGTATGTAACAGAAAATCTTACTTTTTGCTCAAAACAACAGGTTTCTTGACATTCGGAGTCAGGTACTTCAGAGATAATGACAAGAACGAGCAGTTAAGTTTTGTACTGGTCTCCATGACGATCGCATCCAAAAGCCCCTCAGTGACACTGATGTCGGACACATCATATGTGTACAGTCCCAGGGCTAGACTTCCGGTGTGCTGTAAGGTCTGGGGAACAATTCAGCTTCATTAGGATGCAGTAAAGTATCATTAATCCAAACTACCTTTGAGCAAAGTTAAAGAGTCTTGGTAACAAAATGGCTGCATTTTGTTGAACTTGACTGTACTTAACAAATAAACCATACCTAATAACATGAACATATAACAACTTTGTACATTATTGCTTGAAAATTCAGTTTTATTCACTATTTAAAGTGTATTTTGATAATCTTGGTGAAAAAAACACCATATTTGTTAAGTTCCTGAAACAAATCTGCCATGCCCACGAAGACATTCCATATCTGATTTTGTTTCTGTATCTCTTTGCAATCCACAAAGTGGAATAATTTGCATATTTATGCATCATTTCTTTTAAAATGATGAAAAAATAATATGCTTTGTCTTTCTTTGGACAAAGTAAACTGCTATCTGACCTATGTACAGCTGTGCCAAGAGATGTGATGATCTTACCTCCGAGAAGGTGTGAGTGGAAGTATGATTAAACCGGAGAAATCCGTTCTGATCTAAGCCGTGATTGAGAGGAACACCCCCCAGCTTTGTCCCGGTACAGGTGTTAAACAGTATGATGTAGTAGTGACTGAAGTCTCCTTGTGTGTCTCCTGTAATATTCAGAGGAGATTAATATTCATGTCGTATGAAGTAGACACTTCCAATTTTGTAAGTCTGTTTTTTTCCCTCCCAATAATCATGGTATCATTGGAAATATAGTTTTCCTTAAAATCAAATATCTGATTCATATTTTGTACTGATGATGCATTAAACTTACTGATGAACTTTAGGGTCAGAAACAACATATCTTCTTTATTGAACTGTTATCTCACCTTTGAACTTTGCATATTATCTTATCCTTGAACATTATGTATTATCTGAACCTTGAACTCAAAGAACTTTCTTAACATTGAACATTATCTATTAACTTACTCTTGGGCACTATGTATTATCTTACCATTGAACATTATTATTATTATCTTACCTATGTATTGTCTTAACCTTGCACTCTATGTACTATATTACCACTGAACATTATGTATTATCTTACCCTTAAACACTATTTATAATCTTACCCTTGAACACTATATATTATCTTAACCTTGAACACTGAATATCCTATGCTTTAACATTATGTATTATCTTATCCTTGAACACTATTTATAATCTTATCTTTGAACACTATATATTATCTTTACCCTGAACACTGAATATCCTATGCTTGAACACTATGTATTATCTTATCCTTGAACACTATTTATAATCTTATCTTTGAACACTATATATTATCTTTACCCTGAACACTGAATATCCTATGCTTGAACACTATGTATTATCTTAACCTTGAAAACTGAATATCCTATGCTTGAACATTATGTATTGTCTTAACCTTGCACTCTATGTATTATATTACCACTGAACATTATGTATTATCTTACCCTTAAACACTATTTATAATCTTACCCTTGAACACTATATATTATCTTAACCTTGAACACTGAATATCCTATGCTTTAACATTATGTATTATCTTATCCTTGAACACTATTTATAATCTTATCTTTGAACACTATATATTATCTTTACCCTGAACACTGAATATCCTATGCTTGAACACTATGTATTATCTTATCCTTGAACACTATTTATAATCTTATCTTTGAACACTATGTATTGTCTTTACCTTGAACACTGAATATCCTATGCTTGAACACTATGTATTATCTTAACCTTGAAAACTGAATATCCTATGCTTGAACATTATGTATTGTCTTAGCCTTGCACTTTATGTACTATATTACCACTGAACATTATGTATTATCTTACCCTTAAACACTATTTATAATCTTACCCTTGAACACTATATATTATCTTAACCTTGAACACTGAATATCCTATGCTTTAACATTATGTATTATCTTATCCTTGAACACTATTTATAATCTTATCTTTGAACACTATATATTATCTTTACCTTGAACACTGAATATCCTATGCTTGAACACTATGTATTATCTTATCCTTAAACGCTATTTATAATCTTATCTTTGAACACTATGTATTGTCTTTACCTTGAACACTGATATCCTATGCTTGAACACTATGTATTATCTTAACCTTGAAAACTGAATATCCTATGCTTGAACATTATGTATTATCTTATCCTTGAACACTATTTATAATCTTATCTTTGAACAATATGTATTGTCTTCTCTTGAACATTATGTATTATCTTACCCTGGAACATTATGTATTATCTTAACATTGAACACTGAATATCCTATGCTTGAACATTATGTATTATCTTATCCTTGAACACTATTTATGATCTTATCTTTGAACACTTTGTATTGTCTTTACCTTGAACACTGAATATCCTATGCTTGAACACTATGTATTATCTTAACCTTGAACACTGAATATCCTATGCTTGAACATTATGTATTATCTTATCCTTGAACACTATTTATAATCTTATCTTTGAACAATATGTATTGTCTTACCCTTGAACATTATGTATGATCTTACCCTTGAACATTATGTATTATTTTAACCTTGAACACTGAATATCCTATGCTTGAACATTATGTATCATCTTACCCTTGAACACTATATATTATCTTAACCTTGAACAATGAATATCCTATGCTTGAACATTATGTATTATCTTACCCTTGAACACTATTTATAATCTTATCTTTGAACACTTTGTATTATCTTATCCTTGAACAATATTTATAATCTTATCTTTGAACAATATGTATTGTCTTACCCTTGAACATTATGTATTATCTTACCCTTGAACATTATGTATTATCTTAACCTTGAACACTGAATATCCTATGCTTGAACATTATGTATTATCTTACCCTTGAACACTATATATTATCTTAACCTTGAACAATGAATATCCTATGCTTGAACATTATGTATTATCTTATCCTTGAACACTATTTATAATCTTATCTTTGAACACTTTGTATTATTTTACCCTTGAACACTATGTTTTATCGTTCCCTTGAACCTGAACCCTATATATTATTCTACCCTGAAACACATTGTATTATCTTACCATTTATCATGACTGATTACCTTACTATTGAACATCATTTATTTTCTTACCCTAAAATTCTATGTGTTTTCTTAACCTTGAACTCGAAGGACTATCTTGACATTGAACATTATTTATTAACTTACTTTTGGGCACTATGTATGATCTTATCATTGAACATTATTATGTATTATCTTACCACTGAACATTATGTTTTATCTTACCACTGAACATTATGTATTATCTTACCACTGAACATTATGCACTATCTTACCACTGAACATTATGTATTATCTTACCCTTGAACTCTATGCACTGTCTTACCACTGAACATTATATATTATCTTACCCTTGAACTCTATGTACTATCTTACCACTGAACATTATGTATTATCTTATCACTGAACATTATGTATTATCTTACCCTTGAACTCTATGCACTATCTTACCATTGAACATTATGTATGATCTTACCCTTGACCTCTATGTACTATCTTACCACTGAACATTATGTATGATCTTACCCTTGACCTCTATGTACTATCTTACCACTGAACATTATATATTATCTTACCCTTGAACTCTATGCACTATCTTACCACTGAACATTATATATTATCTTACCCTTGAACTATATGTACTATCTTACCACTGAACATTATGTATTATCTTACCACTAAACATTATGTATTATCTTACCCTTGAACTCTATGTACTATCTTACCACTGAACATTATGTACCCACTTACCCTTGACCTCTATGTACTATCTTACCGCTGAACATTATGTATCATCTTACCCTTGCACTCTATGTACTATCTTACCACTGAACATTATGTATTATCTTACCCTTGAACTCTATGTACTCCTCACTGTTTTTGGCTGAGTATGTAACTTCGTTGATGTAGACATGATTTGGCTTCACGGTATGGTGGGTGGTTGGCGTAGTGACAGGGGGCGCTGTCGATGGTATTGGAGGACAGTGATTAGGACCACCGGGGGTAGGGCCAGTCAATTTGTAGCCAGACCTACCACATGAAGACAGGGACTGATTCCCAGACTGAAAAGAACACCACAACAGTGAAACATTTAATTACATGAACAAGAGACCCAGAGGGCCTGCATCGCTCACCTGGATAAATAAGAAATCATGTGAAAATTTTATTACCTAATATAATACTACAATTATTACAATATATTGACTCTGTATCTCAGCAATGTTTCAAAGGTTTACCTCAAAAAAGTCTAAAAGTACCTTGTGAACAGTTTTAATAAATTAACCCATCAATTTTTTATTTCCAAATGCTTGAATATTTTTTTTCAAATAATTCCAATGTAAATAATAAATCCTAATGCAAAATCAAATAACTTCTTCAACCAACCAAACAAACTACAGAACTGTTTCCTTGAACAATACCATCAGGAACAACAAGACCTAGCTCAAGGTCGACAAACGTTACCAAGGGAGACAATTCTTTCTTAAGAGCCCCCCCAGTTGTTCTTTTAATTAACTACTGCTACCAACCAAGAAGAGAGGTCCTCCCTCATAGAGAGAAACCCTGGGGTAGTCCTGTGGCTTGGGTAACACAATCTGGGCTAGGGTCGTGTCCAGACGTTCCGAGGAGATGTTGAAAGCTACTCCATCTTTGATATACTGGTAAGTATCATCCGCAACAAACTTCTTGTTGAAATGTCGTAGATCAGTAGGCACCTGTAGATCAGTGGGAAAAAATATTACTATAAAACCAGAAACAAATGTTCAGTCCCTACACACAAGTGATCGTTACAGATATTGATGTGCACCTTTTTCATGCACTTGTTTTTTAAGGTATTATAGTATAATCAGAAAGATAAGAGAGGCTAAATGTGCCATATTGCTTCCTCTTATTCAATGCTGTTTAAAAATAAAATCTGTCATCTGTGACCTTCAAATTTCTTTTAAAAAAGGTGGAAAGCCCTAATTTATGGTTATAGTTTTTTTTAAAAGTTTTAACAGATTTGACCCCATTTAAAATGGGTCCAGGTCATTTATTTGAATCAACTAGATAGTTCTTTATCCTAAGCATTTTCCTGGCCAAATCTCATTATTCAGTTATCTTCCTATGCTAACACAATCTGTATAATAAAAATATAAGTAATCACTCCTGTATGATATAAACAGAGAACTTTGTGTTTGTTCAAAACAAGGCTTTGCCTAAATCTGTACATTCATAGAATTTAGATTTCTTTATCTATATGACAAAGGGTGAAGATTCCTTTTTTGGCATATCATTTTGTGAAATATCCCTTAAGGTCATAGGAGTGTATTGCTAAACGGAAATAGGAAGTACATTCCTAGTTGAAAATCCAATGTAGGGAGACAGTATCACAATTTCCACATAATCTAATGTTTAATATTAAAGTGATGAATATTGTATGCTTATTATTGACAGAACAGTGTGTTCTTTCAATATTAAAGTATTGCAAAGCAATCCAGGCATGAATTCAGTTGTTTTTTAATCAATGAGTCACATGTGTCCATTTTTCTGTTCTTCAGAAACCGGCTACCTATTTCACTAGTACTGTGAAGTTTTTCAAGAACGATAACTCTTGCATGCAATTACTATGTGTACATGGTTTTATTATAAAATGTCAATCTTTAATTGTTTATAGATAATTCATTTTACACAATTTCAGCATTTATGAAATTGATATACATTAATGCAATATTAATCTATGTTAGTATCATTTTTATTGACATTATTTTGCACACAATTGTGTGTTTCAATTTATTTTTCAAAATTCACTCCTTTTTACATAAATTTCCTTTTAAAATCCTTCAAATTCTGACAACCTATATTTTTTTTGTGGCAGAAAATTTTCTTTACTTCAAAGCAATATAACTACAAAATTTGAATAAATTCTACTGAGAAATGGTGACACAATCCTATTACCTTAAGTATCCCCTTACCACTACTAAAGACTGCAGGTATATTAAGTATTGGAAACTGTTTTTTTTCTGGCATGTCTATAGCTTTGATAAATCATTTCTAAAAAGAAAAACATACCTTGTGACACTCTTATGAGAAAAAATAAAGATGATGAAATAAATAATACTGTGTATATGATCAACAACAGTGTTCGGAGTGTAAAAACAAATCAGTTGGGCTAGAAGGGCTTCGAACCCTGGACTTCAGATTGCAATACAAGCGAATAATCTCTCTACCCGATTGAGCTAGTTAGTTAGTCAACTGAAGTATCCTAGCCCAACAGTGCTACAGTTATATCGTAATGGAATTTAAGGGGAGGTTACTGTATATAGGGAAAAAACCTGTGCAGTGGGATAGGGGTCATTAAAATGCAGAATAACATTTGTATCTATCATTGGAGCAAGAGTTATGCCAGCTCTACTTCAGCTTAAACTTACATCATCAAAAATGTTGATATCCCTATCCAGCAGTCAATGATATATCCTTGTTATTCTAAATGACTTTATGAATCATTCACCCCTGAAATTTCATAATGAACAATTCCAACCTTTGAATTAGAAGAGTTCAAATGTGTCTTCAGGGGTAAATGATTTATTCTCAATAAATTTGGTTAAATTCTTTACAGGTATAACGTGGTTATCCTAGAAATTACCTGATAAAGCACCACAACAATGGTTCCTTCTACAAAAGCTTTCCCACAATCCAAAGTCTGGGATCCGTTAGACATTCCACTCAGAAGGTAGTACCCACTCTCATTGATCCTTTCATTCCACAGGTCAAAGGTCACATTTTGTATGGAATGGCCTGCAGTGGTGGCCTTACTGTAGATAGCAAGGAAGAACGAGTTCAAGGCCTGCGACGCATTGTTGGAAAACTGTATCTCTATGAAACATGTATGCTGCTTTCCAAGATGGCCGATTTCATTGATAATTGGATAATCATCTCTCAAGTCACAGGCGTTCTGTTTTCCTTCATGAACAAATATATATCAAAAGAATTTATTGCACACCTACCACATATCATAAATTATACTTGGGAAAATAGGCGTAAAACTTTTATTATCTGGGGTAGGAGGAGACATAGTATAAAACCATTACCGTGGTAAGGAGTCATGACGTACATGTAATTAGAGGTTATCATATGACCGATTCTATATCCTTCTCCGTTTCAGCATGAGACTCTCATATCAGTCTGACGGCCCGGAGGCCCCTTGGGCTGATATGGGTTAAGGGCTGACAAGGAGAAGGATATGGAAATTATTATATGATAACTTTTTTTTCAAATACTGCTCTCTAACATCAAAAGCATACTGTATAGCGGTCATATTACTCAGGGGTTTTGATTTCGCTATATTTGCGCTTTGACTAGTATCCAGCAAAATTAACGAAAATGTTAACCACTTTTAGGGATCTTATCACAACACCGCGAAATATTGACCCCCCCGTTTCAGATGTGATTTTTCCGAAAAATATGGCGCGTGGCAAGGGGAACATCGTGCATGCTGGCGGATATAGGTTGGTCCAGGATATGGCCTATGCATAGCTATCAGTATCACACATGCAAAACAGCCCACAGCACGGACAAGTTTATGATAAAACATGTGCTTAGGCTGGCATACTATAAAACATGGTCCGGTCTGGTTTCACTGGTCTGGTCACAACTCAACTGGTCTCAAATTTTGGTCTGGTCTAGTCCAAAATTTAAGACCAGAGCATTGAGCCCTATAACCAAACAAGACCAATCTGATCAGACTAGAAAAGACCAAACCAGATGGGACCCTATTTTATAGTAGGCCTCTAAGTCCAGAGGAAATTCATCTGACATAGGAGACAAATAGTTTATGGGAAACAAGGAACAGTCTTCGATTCACAGTCTCTTTGTGACTCCGAAACAGGCTAATCTTGACTTCTAGATCTTTCGTTTTACCTACCTGGAGTAGGATGAGACAGAGTAAAGGCTCGCTGATTTTTCGGTTCATCGCTATAACATCTGCTGACCGATTCGTAAGGATACTGGCTGTCTTTGACCACAGCCTTAAATCCAGGACTCCAGTCTCGAATGACCGATGGCATGACAGAGGTGCCCGAACTATACACAACATAATCCACCAGACCATCACGAGATGGTGTACTGTCACTTGTGAAAGAAGAACTGTCATTCTTGTATAAGGTAACCATGGTGATTTGACCACTTGGACCTGTCAGAGATTTGTTGGTCAGTACCAAGTCTGGTCCGAAGGAAGCATTGAATGTGGCCATCACAAATGCTCCATTTGAATGCCGAAGACTGTAACAACAAGAAGGTAGTGTTTATTAATAACATCTACATTATAGATACGTAGATTTTATTCTGACAAGTCAGCTCTGAAAAAAATGGCATATTGAAAAAGGTCCAACATTTAAAGATTTTTTCTTTAAAACAGTAATTAGGCGCTTGGTTTTGCCAGTGTTCATCTAATTTATATTCAAATTGTTTAACTTGCTTTAAGTTAGCATGCATAGTCATAGACAATATGAAAGGCAAATTCAATGAATGCCAACCAAAAACAGTTCATTGCTTAAGGTCTTCCCACCCTTTGTAGTACACATGTTTTTCTGGTCGTAATTTTGTGTCGTCATTTCCGTATTGGGTATCAGGCATTTCAATACTGTAGTTCAAATTATAGTAACACCGGGTAAACAATAGAACACGTATGTGACGATGATATGTCAACACATGATATCGAGACTTCACTTGGAAATGTGTAATTACACGTACTTCAGAAATTAAGTAAAAAGGAAGACACTGACATGAGACCAGACAACTCCAAGAAGGTCATATGGGAAAGATCACCATTTTTAAATCTTTTATTTCATCTTATTTCAATTACTGCCCCCTAGCCTGGCATTTTTGAAGCCTCAGAAACACTCGTAAGATGGGAAAGATACAGGAAAGAGCTCTGCGTTTTATTGAAAACGATTTTACCTGATCACCTGTGATAGATATTTTACGCAGAAACAACCTCACATTTGTACACGTTGTTAGAATGAAGACTATGGCTACAGAAGTCTTTAAAATTCTAAATGGGTTAGCTCAAGATTTTTTTAAATGATTTGATTGTTAAAAATAATGTTGAATATAATTTCAGGCAAGAGAACACCATTCAGGTACCTGGAGTTAACACAACAAGGTATGGAAAAAAGTCTTTTCGCTTTGAGGCTGCCCAAGTGTGGAACAGTTTGCCGAATGAACTGAGGAAAGTAGAAAATGTCCAGAGCTTTCGCAGACAGCTGCACACTTGGGACGGCCAGTTGTGTTCCTGCGCCATATGTAACTAGTCTTGTTTGTTTGTTCCAACCCTTTTTATCATTTCTATATTTAGTTTTTACCATGTCTTGTGATACCATGTCTTGTGATACCATGCTTCTATGCTTTTATTTCCTTTCCTTTTTTTTTATTAGTGCTCTTATTTACGCATTGTATGACTTACTCTATGCTTGTCAAATCATCTTTTAAGTTATGCTATATATATTAGCATATATTCAGTCAATTTTTAACTCATGCCATATTGGCATTTATGTATATACTGAACCATGGTTTCTTAGTTTGTGAGCATGTGGCATGAATCCTTTGTGCAGCATCAATTTTAATATAGATTTTTATATATACTTTGTTCTGTACGTGCCAAGTATTTTTTAATTACTGCATGCTGTGATTTAATACTTTTTTCTTGTCTGTGTGTGTATAAACCTTGCTATATGCCTGTTTGTTTTCAGCATGTTGTCAGCTTATATATCCTGTTTATATACCTTTGTTTGTCGAAATAATAGCTCTACAGAGCTAATGTTCCCATTACTGAACATGTACGACTCTAAATAAAAATTCTTGTATCTTGTATATGGAATGCGGACTGATGTGTTTTGTGTACAGACCTTAAATGTACATTTCACGTGTTTACACCAGCTCGAGGTCGTTAGATTTTTGCTGTTGAGTAAGATACACTCTGTCGTGTAAATCCTTCCCTACAAATGCAGTACACTAACCCTGTTTAAATAGTGTTTTTAAAATATCAAAATCTCTAAGAAAATGCATGTGAGAATTGGCACACCATGCGATAGCTTCTGGCTACATATGTACATAACATGTTAATATACCGGTCATGTGCTAGCTCACTGTGGAATGATGTCCCAAGTGTATACATGATTTAGAGTAATTTTGTTCCATAAATTTTTTTATTTTTTTTTATTCATTTCCATCAATTTTGATACAGGTAAAGAGAGATAATTGTTATTGTGTCAATTTCATACCTCTGCAAAAAGTTCTGATTTTTATCAAGGAAGACAACTCTCACCATGATCAAAGTGGTTGTAAAATGTAAAGTCAATTAATTATACAGCCATTTTGTTCATCTTTTCACTCTTTTTGTATGAAACTTTGTGTCCTGTTTGCCTTTAGCTTATAGATAATACCAAAAAAACCCAGTCTATCGGAATGCTTTAATTGTCATAAAATCATCTCTACATAGTGACATCCATTTTGTGGAAGTTTCAACGGATTCTGCTGGTTAATTGTGAAAGGGTGGAGCCTCCTTAAATATTCACAAACTGATATGAAAATGAGAATGTACTTGAGATTTGTAATGAAAGCAGTTCAATACTTATATTTACCCTTTCGGAATCTGTTCATTTCATAAAAAAAACCAATTGTAACATTTATTATTATTCAGCATTTAGTTCAAATAATGTATGTATCATGTATGCTTGTTCATTGAATAGAACAGCCATCGCCCAGGGAGGGTCAGTGGTATCTAACGTAACAATTATAATGTCAACAATCCGTCCATGGCATTCATAGCCTATGAATGCCAACTGAATTTGGTAGGTTTATATTGTGGCAATGCTATGCGATGGTAAAAATTAAACAAATGATAAAACAAGGAAAATTTCCATGACAAACCTCACCTGTAACGATCAAGGGAGACAATCAAGACAGCTTTCATATCCTCACCGGCAAACAGGACAATAGTATAGCCCTGCAGGGACAGATTTCTGTCTCCATACAGCTCTATGAACTCTGGGAGGTCACCAGGGTCATGACCTTGTGGTAGGTCATAGTACACTTCCATAATTGTCACCTTCCCTGGAAACAAAATTCATTTGAATTTCATTGATATATCACTCTCATTATGAATATTAATTAATTAGGGATTTCCATTTCGGATGGAAATCCCTTTATTGTTTCGTTATGTTTTTTCTTATTCTTATTCTTATTATTCTTATTATTTCCATAGATCTTGTTAACAGTTAATCTCATGAACGAAAACAGATATAACGTTAATATTTCAGTATGCAATAGATGGTTGTACTGCATTAACGCTCAACGGTTCCTGTAGATCATGGTCGGGCTAACTTGTTCCCATGACATGTTATCAGAGAATATGTCAAGTTCAAAGCCTCGCTATGGGGTCCAAAATGGGTCAAATATGAAAATCTCAAAAATAGTAAAAAAAATATCACATCCTAAAGAGCACGGTCTAATTAGGTTACATGAAAAGTTTCAAGGTCACAACATCAAAAATGACGAAGATAATTATGCCACTTTGAAAAATGTTTGTTTTCCCGCCAAAATTCAAAATGTTCTAAATATTGCACTATATTTGGCACATCTATAGCATGTATGTTTGGTTACATACAGAGTTCAGCCCGTTGACCGTGACCTCTATTCAAGGTCACAGGGGTTAAATGATAAAAAAAATGAAAATTTCAAAATTCTTTAAAACTTTTTGTTTTACACCACATTTTAAAGAATGTATCATAATATAGAGATTAATAAAGTTTCAAGATCAATGCATCATGTTGCATGTCAATAAACAAGTGAAACCTACAAAATAGGTATGTCAGTGATGTGAAGCAAAGGGAAGCGAAGGGAAGCGAAGAGAAACGTTTAAAAGCGATCTTCAGTCCGAGAACATATCTGATCATTTTCTTGTTGGAAACCCCGTGTTTTGATCTTGATCAAATGTAGTTTACATTGTATTTGTTTATGAATAATATTCATGATTAATAGCTATAGAAATAAATTCACAGACAAACACATGCAATATCGGAGAATTATGAATTTTCACTTCTTTAAATAAAACAGGTTTTAATCAAAACTAAATTATATGATATGACAAAAAGTTATCATATAATGTAGTTAAATTAACTTGCAAACATGATAAATAATGGTAAAAAAAAATCGCCCTAATGTACCTGAGCACTATACTTGAATGCGTACAATACCCCAGAATGTACTGTATATGGTCATAACTAGGCAGGTCAACATGGTCATTACCTGTAACTGAGCCAGTTGAAGGTGTGGTTCCAGATGGTTTGCTGGAAGGAGATGATTCAGGTTTGGTTGGTTTGGTGATACCAGTGGTTGTTTTGCCAGGAGTTGGACTAGGTTTTGGCCTAGTAGTGGTTTTGTGTGTGGTATTAGTTGTGTTGCCAGGAGTTGGACTAGGCTTTGGTCTAATAGTGGTTTTGTGTGTGGTATTAGTTGTGTTGCTAGGAGTTGGACTAGGTTTTGGTCTAATAGTGGTTGTGTGTGTGGTATTAGTTGTGTTGCCAGGGGTTGGACTAGGTTTTGGCCTAATAGCGGTTTTGTGTGTGGTATTAGTTGTGTTGCCAGGGGTTGGACTAGGTTTTGGACTAAGAGTGGTTTTGTGTGTGGTATTAGTTGTGTTGCCAGGGGTTGGACTAGGTTTTGGTCTAATAGTGGTTTTGTGTGTGGTATTAGTTGTGTTGCCAGGGGTTGGACTAGGTTTTGGACTAATAGTGGTTTTGTGTGTGGTATTAGTTGTGTTGCCAGGAGTTGGACTAGGTTTTGGTCTAATAGTGGTTTTGTGTGTGGTATTAGTTGTTTTTCCAGGAGTTAAACTAGGTTTTGGTCTAATAGTGGTTTTGTGTGTGGTATTAGTTGTGTTGCTAGGAGTTGGACTAGGTTTTGGTCTAATAGTGGTTTTGTGTGTGGTATTAGTTGTTTTGCCAGGAGTTGGACTAGGTTTTGGTCTAATAGTGGTTTTGTGTGTGGTATTAGCTGTGTTGCCAGGAGTTGGACTAGTTTTTGGTCTAATAGTGGTTTTGTGTGTGGTATTCGTTGTATTTCCAGGAGTTGGACTAGGTTTTGGTCTAATAGTGGTTTTGTTTGTGGTATTAGGTGTTTTTCCAGGAGTTAAACTAGGTTTTGGTCTAATAGTGGTTTTGTGTGTGGTATTAGTTGTTTTGCCAGGAGTTGGACTAGGTTTTGAACTAGAGGTGGTTTTGTGTGTGGTATTAGTTGTTTTGCCAGGAGTTACACTAGGTTTTTGACTAGAAGTGGTTTTGTGTATGGCAGGAGTTGTTTTGCCAGGAGTTGGACTAGAAGTGGTTTTGTGTGTGGCAGGAGTTGTTTTGCCAGGAGTTGGACTAGAAGTGGTTTTGTGTTTGGTAGGAGTTGTTTTGCCAGGACTCCCCATGGATGTTTGTCCGCTTGCTGTTATAAGATGGATCAATACACACACCTAAAATACAAAGCAGGGAGTGAATTTACAAGAAAATTTCTATTATGGACTCGCTTTATTAAATTGGCAGGGACTCGTTGTGTGGCACAGTGGATAGCAGACTCGTCCTCCATCAAGACAGACGGGGTTCAATTCCCATTTTGGACATTAAAGGTCTGGGGTCATCTGCCTGAGCATGTCTCTGGGAACTTCAGTTTCCTTCCACATTGAGACCCCCTGCATGCTCCCATGAGAGCCAGAAAGAGTGATTGATAAAACTTATTTTTTTTAGTTATTTTCATTTTTTCAACAATTCATTACAAATATTACAGTAATATTTCAATCACTCATTCTCTGTAGCAGCTTACTGCACATTGGACTTTTTTTGTCTCACATGACTATGGCTTTGATAAATAATTTCTGAAAAGCAACCATACCTTGCGAAACTTTTATGAAAAATATAAAGATGAAATAAACATGAAATATAATCATCAACCGTGTTCTGAGTGTAAAATTTCAGCGGAGCTAGACCAGGGTTCGAACCCTGGACTCTAGATTGTTATACTATCACTCTAACCAAATGAGCTACCTGGTCAACAGAAGTGCATGCCCTGTCCCAAATATACGTCAGATATGTTCAAAACGAAATTAAGGGGAGGTTACTGTATATACGGGAAAGAATAAACCAGTGGGACAGGGACCCTTAAGATAGTTGTATGGTGCATTAGATATACCAGGGTATCTTTAATTTCTCAGGGAATCTCTTCTCATGCCATATATTCATTGATTTAGCCCAAGAATAAGCAAAACACCCATTACAAACTTCTTGAATGAACATTTCAATCGTGCTATGTTTTCTTTCATTTTTTTTTTTCATTCTGTGCCGAATTCATCACAGACTCCTTTAAACAACTGTAAGAAATACTTACCAGAAGAATCACGAGGAACTGCCGGAGGTGTCCCATAATGTAGGCTGTTACTGTTGGAGACTTATAATCTGCCACAAAAGCAACAGTGACAGATACTTCATGTTTATAGTTTAGGAAATATGTGACATGCATCAGAAGTTTAAAGAATCATATACTGTATAACACTAAATGTTCGTTGTGTATAAACATTCATGGTTTTAGTGGTTGCTATTGAACCACAAAATTAAATACAACGAATTTGAATGATATACGTGTCTACTATATGCTAATATAGGATATCCATGAAAGTGTGTACCACAAAACGATGTAAATGGCTTCAAACCACGAAGGAAAGCAGGGGCGGGTCCAGGTGAGGGCATAATGGGTGTACGCCCCCCTTTTCCAAAAAATAAATAAATAAATAAAATATCGTAATCTGCTAATATTGTATTGAATATGGCAATTTATCATATTCATTAATTAAACACATTAACACCCTGACACTTTAACTATAAAATATACATGCTCCAAGTCAGGAACCGTTACATTTATGCATTTCACAATTATTTTATGTTTTTTAGCAAAAAAAAAGGTCCAATTTTTTCCAGATTTGATTCTACACCCCACCCCCTCTTTCAAATATCCTAGAAACGCCCCTGGAAAGTACCCACAAACATTTCGTGTTAAACAGTAACTAAAGAGGAAAATATGAAATTTGTAGATAACAATACATTTGGCACGGGTATAGTCCTTCAACAGATGACCTACATGACATGGATGCAAACGTTTTGGTTTTAATATCAGTAAAAATGAGCTTCAATGTAGATGCTGAGTTCTTGAACTGTCCATAGAGGGTTAACTTCTGTTCAGACTTGTTTTGTCAAACTGGAAAAGATGAGCTATGAATTCCATGCATGATTAAATGATTTTCCATACTGTAATGCAAGGCAGTAAATAAAATGCTAAGATGTACAATAGCATTTGCCAAGGGCAATAACTCCAACTGATTAAATATGACCTGGACAAGTTTTTCCATAATCAATTTCAATTTCAATTTCAAATTATCAATTTGATATAAAAAAAAAAAAATGGGTTCTACAGTTTGATCAATTCATTACAGTATATATATTTTTTATACAGGTAATATTGACTCATATTACCTTTCTGGAAATCTGGTCAGGTAATACGAGGTGATATTAACTGTATAAAACCTATATAAAAAACAATAATTTAAATCAAAGACATTGGGGTCTGCCATTCATCAATAATAATAAATGATTTTAATGTGTTTTTAAGGAATTATCTTGCAGTTATTTAGTTATTTAGTTTAAGTACAATGTAATAATATTCAATGATACAGACTCAAATATTTGAGTATTGTACTCACTTGTGTATAATGTGCAGGTACTTTTTTACTTTTTATCTCAAACCTTATTTATACAATTACATGGAGCTGATTGACCAAAATTAAAACGTGATGTATGCTACAAATATGTTTTTTCCTTAAAACAAACAGTTGTTCAGCTTTCTCATTAAAACATCTTTCTTTCGTTATCCCAATGTCACTTTGCATGAACAAAACATGGCCCCCATATATCCCTCAAGTCACAAAGCCCTGACACGCCCAATGCCAAGATGGTTGGTTTGGTTTCATAAAACATGTTTTGTATCAGTTATGAGTTAAAAGGAATACATATGCATAAATCCAATCTTGTGATATGACATCATTCAAGTCAACCCATGACTGCATGTACATGTACCAGGCAAAACCTTAGAATTGTATTAGACTGTATTGTATCAAAATAACGACATAACTGCTTGGTTTCACTTTCCGAAAAACCACTTGAATTACGCACACAAAACAGAAGATACACATTTTGAATTTATATTAATTCAACACTACAGTATACGGGGAATATTAAACATCAATTTCTACTTACCTTTCGTTTATATATATTCCCTGTAATATCGCGCTTGATGTTGGTAGACAATGGAATTATGACGTTATAATCCAAAATATTTCCAGGCAAAAATACCTGTCTATTGGCCAGTCAGACTCATGTGTCCATGTTTTCCTCCATCGCTGTGATAAGAAACTATGTACGGTGCTTGACACATAAGTCACCATTGATAATTGTTTTACCTATTGTGAACAAAGTCCTGATCACATTCTGGCAAAAGCATTGTCATCTTACAGCATGATTTGACCTGAATTTCCCCTTCATCTAAGACGTTTACCTTATGACAAATTAAAACATCATAATTATTGAAATCCCAATTATATTTCTGATATTTATAAGATTTAGAAAATATTTCAATGCGATATCTGAATTGTGTGGATGAACAATGGAAATATTGAGCTTAATTTGGATGCTCAATAACAATCAGAAAACGATTAGATAACGGAATGACGGAGATCAGGCAGACGTATGTGCTTACCTGATAACAACAGAGATATGCAGGTATACCCTGTACATTGGTGTAACATTGTGTCGACCTTTTGCTGCATGTATACATGTATACATAATAACACAAGTTTACATGCGATAATGAACTAATTACACTCCGATATAAACCTAAGCTGGACCATACTTATGCTATTTTAAACTGTAGTATTTTATGTACAACACACCAGTGTCTGATTTCACCAGTAATCTTACAAAAGATATGAGACATACTTAAGCACAGGCAGCACAAAATTATTCAATCATCTGCTTCCAGTTGAAATGACCTATCACAACAAATACAAACTTTAAGGTGCTTTTTGTTGTTGTTAAGGATCCTCGTGCCATTGGAGGCAAAAACACTAGAGAGTTCCAGTTATTTTTACATACAGACAGTAGCCTCCCCTTAATTTAGATTTGGGTAACTGGGCCATGGTACTTACACTGTTGGCCAGCAAGCTTAATTAGTTCATTAGAGTGAGAGTATAATGAAAAGAGGTCCTTGGTTTGAATCCCAGTCTACTCTCAGAACACTGTTGTTCATTTATAAAAAAAAAATCATTATTGTTTATTTCATCTTTATTTTTTTTTCATAAATTTCAATTTTCTACAAGTATGGTTTTCTTTTCAGAAATGATTGATCAAAACTATAGTCATGTCAGAAAAATATGTTCCAATACACAATAACATGTTCTGGCAGTAGTATATATATATATAAATCCTTAAATGACATCCTAAAAAGCTGGAACCTTATAGACTATGACTATAAGACTAGACTATATTACAAAAAAAATAAACAAATGTGTCTACACTTGTCTTCATGTATCTTGTAGATATAATTTCCATATCTCATTTTTTATCTATGTATAAAGGAAATATATCTTATCTATGATCATATTATGATATTCATAATTCTGTCAGCTAGGACAAGCAGAAACAGACACAAAGCTATTTCAATGCAAGGGAATCTAGGATCATGTTCCCCTCCAAAAAGTTCCTCTACCAAAAAGAAATTTACTTAATTACTTATAGTGTTTCCTTCTATAGATCAACAGGTCCATTAGTCTGTCCAGTAATACAAAGGAAACTACGTCCATATTTTGGAGAGGGAGGACTTAGGAGGGGTCTTTCCTTGAAAACATTGTGTAACTACATGCATGTTTCTTCTTTTTTTCTTTTTTTTCTTCTTCTTCCTTTACAAGGATCAGACTCAAAGGTTTGAGTGCACTTGATCCTGGGAGGTGGCATTAAAAATGCTAAAAACAATTATTTTTGTTAATTTGTACTATAAGATAAAAACAGAAAACACTTTATGTAAGGTTGAAACTAGCCAGGGCAGACCTGAAAGAGTTCAGGTTTGGCTCCTGTGCTAGGGATGATGGTAGCGAATTCCAGTTAACAATAGTTCTAGGGAAGAATGAATATTTATACAAATTTGTGTGGGTTGATATTTGATTACCAGTAATTCTGTTAGCCCCTCTGGTTCTCCTGTCGCCTGATGTTATGAATTGGAATGGATCAATAGCCACATGTCTGTTTGTTATTTTATATAACATCATGAGCCTGGCTTTTGTTCTTCGCTGGGCTAGGTTACATGCATTTTTTTTACATAGATGCTTTCTCTTATTAAAGGTCATGCCATTTCAACTTTCTCATTTTGCTTTTCATTTGCTTTTGCTTTAGGCCTTTTTAAAGGAGATAACTGAACAACCCCTTTCACCCCTTGTACACTTTTTTATCCTTTTTTTAGGTATGTATTACATATTATGTATCAATACATTTTTCACTTAACTATTATGTGTCAATTATGTGCTAAATTAACAAAACGTTTGACCAAAGCACAGGGGTTCATAAACACAACGTTTATGTGTGATGTGACCCATATCAGTATAGCAATTATATGTGTATTTCAGACATTTGTAACAAACCTCTGTGACCAAAGCCTTAATTTTGTGTACTGTATCTTTAATTTAATGTCGGCTAAACAGCAGGTACATTGGGCTAGTAATTTCAACAATATGATGAAAGTCCCTAAAAATATTCTGTTTCTTAACCTTTTGACTATCCCGCGATATCCCACGCCTTGCTGAATGGTCATGTTCAAAATACCCCGCAAAAATAAATTTTGTGACACACCTCTTCCGCTATTCAAGGGGAGCTACTCTAACTTCCGGAAGTAATGTCAATTTTGTGGCGGGAACGTTTACATTCACAACAACAATATTGTCATGGCTTCTAAACTCAGAAGCCATGTATTGTCAGCATTTAAAATGCATGGATTTACATTACGAAGGTAAAAAATTAATAAGTGACAACTGTAGATCTGAATCAATAGTTCTGATTTCGTAAATGCGTTCTTTCTTGAAAGTGGCCGTCAGCTGTCAGCCACTGGATCAATATTAATATATCGGGATGCTCCTCGTTATCCCCGGTTTAATGGTATCCGGAACGTATGCTACTTCAGATAGCATTCCCACAAACTAGTTGAAGGGAAAGTCTTTTAATAGTAAGAAAAAATTAGAGGAGTACCCTTCCTGATCCAGATGATGACGGCATTGGATTTAGACTGAGAGAATCCATCCATTTTCTTCTCAACTTAGATTTAAAATTCTCTTCACCCTTTTGTAGACATGTTAATCCCAAACGATCACTGCTCCTTTAAACCTGCCCCAACTTTCAATTTTATCCTGGTGTTCCTCAAATGTTTGTGACATAACTCTGAACCCGAATTTGAAATTTAATCACAATACTAATTGATATACACCAATAAAGTAATGACTCCACATCAACATTTCCAAAAAACGCTAGACACCCATGCCATGTACTCTCATGCTCAGCTGGTATAGGGTCTGTAGGGGTGATATGGTATGCTTTAATCACAGTTTGTAGTGTATTGCAGTGTTTTCTTCAGAAGGGGGAATAATATTAGTATATCCTCTGATTGATTTCTTTATTCTTTTTTCGATTCTGTATGTTTGTAAGCAGCAAAATATATTTTAAAGAGTACTAAGTGTAGTTAGCAGAGTCTTCTCAAACAATTTAAACCTTTATAAAAGCAACGTTGCCGTAAACTTGTCAAGTCCTTTGTTTTGAATATGTGTATATATTGTTTATTTTATAGTGAGTCCAGTAAGTACCTGGTAGAAGTCCTTGGGTCAGTGGAAGAGGACCAGAGGGAGGAATGCCTCGACAAAATTATAGAAACAATACAAAAACAGCCGTGTAAGTTGTCACACTGGATGTACTTGCAGGTCTGTCCAGGGTTGATCGCCAGTACCCTGATTGCCTGAACTTTGAAAATTTAGAGCAGCTATCTAAAAGTTTGAAGGCCATGTTTGAGTCCTCACGGGTTGGATTAATTGTAATTTCCTAAAGAAATAAAAAAAATAGTATGGTATGTTTGCTATGTAACGGGAGCTGGAGATGGAAAAATGCACAGCCAGACCGGGGTTCGAACCCGGGACCCTCCAAACTCTAGACAACGCTCTACCAATTCAGGTATCTAGTTGCAGGCAATCGACCCAGTCCAGTTCCGCTAGTCTTATAAGCAGGACCTTAACAGAATTATAGAGTAGCACTCAATACAGAAAATATCATTTTAGTGTCCACCAAGTACAGTAAAACCCCACTTCCTCGAACTCGGTTTACTAAAATACCCCTCATTTGTTGAACAGTTCATTTGGTACCTATTCTTTGTGAAGTACCACGGATTAGTCGAACCATTATTCCACAAATACCACGTATTCCTCGAACAAAAGTTTGTCCCCGACTCCTCATGGTCATAGTATTAATCTTATCTATTCGTCGAACAGGTGTGAGCGGCTGACAGATATTTTACCTATGTGTCACACTGCCGTTGTCATGTCTCATGGCACAGGCTGCGGTCCACACTCATTGTGCTTAATTAGAGGATTAACAGTAATATCATAAAGTAACTGTACCGCTGCCCTGGTGTACGTAGCTGCATTATCATTGTGTGTGTATATTTATTTTTTCCAGGCAATGTTTTGACATCGATAATTTGGTGGAAGTGTTAATTCACTTGGTATGTAAAACAATATTTCGGAATGGCAATATAAAGCGGAAATCACATAGCCGAATCTGGACCAACTTTAAAGATATTCAAACTTGAATACATTGTGATTGTTAATTTTGTTATCAATCAACATTATGATAAAAAGATTTTCTTCATTTTAAAATGATCGAAGAGTTTCTCTTATTTTTTATTTTGTAAAATTAACGTAGCCGATTACAGTACAGTATGGCGGACTATGTCCAAACGAAAAGTACGTTACACATGCAACTTTTTGATTTTATTTACTTTATTAATACCGGTGTCTATAAGTTCTCATTGTTCAGCTATTTTAAATCTTATTAAATGCTGTCATCTTGATTAAACTTTGTTTTTCTTCTATCGTTTACTATCCGCAGTATTTGCGGTGCTCGTACTGTCAGTTGTCCCACCTGATAAAAAAATGACAATGTCATTCAAACCTCAGATTCGTCGAATATCATTTATTCCAATTATTGATCTGGACCCTACAAGTTCGAGTTAGCTGGGTTTTACTGTACTGGGTAAATGCTTGTCAACGGGATACCTGAACCTGGCAGTGGGTTATAAAGATTTGTGTCTTTTGGGGTAAAGACTTAGAAAAAGGAGGGAGGATCAGGAATGTCTGGAAACTGGACTGGGTTGATCATCGGCGACCAGGCTGGTAATTTAAATGGTAGGGTGCATGTGTCCATCTAAGTTTTTGGAGCGTTTTGGTTAGAATTTCAATACAATAAATAAGTTTTAATCATTATCATGTTTCACATTTCATGTATGTAATTTTGATTGCAGTGTCCAGCTCACTTATAACCAAAGCCACATGTGAATCAGCAGTCCAGGAGTGCAATGCTGAACACAATGATGAAGGGTATGAATATCGAACTAATAGATGGTTTCCAGAATTAAATTTTAAACTTTTCATGCATGTATACGTACCTACATATAAAATATAGCAACAGAAAATTGAAATTATTTCATTTTTTTTTTCTTTTTCTAGATATCTTAATATATCAACTATCAAATTATTAATCCACTGATGATTTCTATTAAAATGATTTACTTTGTAATATATACTCAATTCTTTTACAAGCAATAGTATTGGTGAATTCCAAATAACAATGGACTAGTGCAAACAACAATATTTAGGATCAATAGAGGTGCATGGATTATGATTCATGAAGTGCTTTTTCTAGCAAATAGTGTGGACAAAAATAAGTTTAAAGAAAACACAAGTACTTCTTACGGAGTCTGAAACAAAACTCATTCAACCCTGTAGACACATTTGAACTGGTCCAATTCAAAGGTTGGAACAGTTCATTATGAAATTTCTGGGGTGAATGAGTTAATGTTGATGTCATAATGCATAAAACTGAGTGTTAGTGTGGGTAGAATTCTGTCATCAGAAGCAGTGATAAACAGTTTTATTATGAATACCATTTTGTGAGAGATCACTGTAGGATTTGTTGCATTAAATGTGAGTTGCTGTGCCTTTTTTTTTTTGGTAGGATAACTCAACATTTTATTGGTCTTAACTAACACAACATAAGTTACAAGAGTTTGGCAAAACATGGCACTATAGTAATACATGTACATACACTTTAACACTTGAACATCATCATGAAATATTTCAAATATATTTTCAGTACATTTTTAGTAATAATGATATTGGTATACAGGCGATATCAATTTTTATTATTTTTTTCATATTATTCCCGACAAGTGATAGGCCAGAAGTGCATCATGTGTCCACCGATACAAACTGATATTGACTTGGAGCGTGTGATTTTTGTTAAAGGACTGGGTGTCTCCAAACGTTTTCTCGGGTCAATAAATCCAGGCCCAAACTTTGCCCAATATATAAATCGTTTGCCATCTAACTAGAACGTACGAGTTACCTCCCTTTGTCACAGTTCTTTACAAATTATACAAACACCCAAACGTCAATCTTAACATATATTTTGACATACAAACTTAATTATAATCTGTTAGACGTTATCAAACGTATTTTTCTGTAAGATTGTCAAACATATCTGTACATGATTTTGTAAGCTATGCTTTTGAACAGTTTTATGGAAGGATTATAAGTAGTGATACCACTATCGTGTTAATCCCATTTTTGCACTATTACGGAAGCTTCCATAAATTACCATTTGGAGGACACAGATAAAAGGAATGCTGAATTCATGACATTTTCATGTTTTTGAATTCATTTAAAAAAAGAAGACTTTTATGAGATGAATACTTTGATTGGCGATAGAAATATAACATCCATTGAGCCGAAATTGTTGAATTGGATTCAACATGTTGAAACGTTTAGACTGAATCACGACACAAATTAAAGCATCATTTTGTTAGCAAGTTTTTTGGGTTTTTTTTTATTATATTTTCAAAATTTTATGACATAAACATATATATAAATATACATACAATGTACATGAGCGTCTAGAATCGCCTTTAAATAATGTATATACTGTTCAAAATATTCTATCAAGTGTCAGTATTCGTCTTACATTATATATTAACAAATAGGTAAAGATTCACATTCTGATATAAAAAATAAACTTCTGGATATTCTTGTCCGTACTCTATTCTAATTAGTTGCTGTGCCTTTTTAATTTGACAGGGAAAATGTACTGTGTGTGATTGATGCATTCTCTGTACCAAGACTAAGCTATGTTGCTGATCGTAAGAAATTTATTCAGTAAGTATCTTATTTGAGGAAAATGAATTAGTTAGTTTAAATTCATTGTGAACTTTCTTCTTATTTTTTGCTCTTATTTTGTATGAAGAGAAACAATATGAATTCCTTTTTTTACACTTTTTTACACTGCCCTGGGATTATATTTATTTTTAGATTTTGAAACAAATGTATAATTTTAAATGCAATTAAGAGCTTAAATGACAGTATGTAGAAAGGAATTGTCAAAATCAATAATTGGGTCGACTAATTCTGATGAGGCACCAAGTCTTATACTGTATTTTACTTAAAACAAAATTATCTATTTTTTTGGGTAAATTGATGATTTAATTCAGGACATTTTGTTTTACTTGACACAGCAATAAGACGTTACAACTTGCCAGCCCCAGTCTACATGGCACTGCTTCTGACAAAGCATCGTTATTTAGGGACAGGTATACCATACTTTATCAGGTAAGTTGTTTGTGAGATTTCATATTTCAATTTCTTTGTCCTCAATCAGTTGCGTAATTGGTGAATTCACGCCTTCACAATTTTTATTTGCTTAGAAGCTATGAGTATGTTTGTAGTTGTGCATTTAGTTTAAACAATAGCACATCTTGTGCAATTTTGATAAAAGCTGGCTCCAAATTTTAGAGAGAAAAAATAATTTTTGAAATTCGAAAACAAGCCAGTGCTTGTCAATGCTTGAAAGAGTAAAAAGAGTCCTGTGAAGCTGATTAATTTCATTCAGTATCTATTCCATGTTGAACTTCATTATATAGCCAATAGAATTTTAACAGAGTTGTCTCCCATTGATTGTGTTTATTTTACAGAGGACACAGCGACACGACCTCTTTACAACACCAGCTATAGGATCCAACGAGGAAAAGTCGAAAAAGTTTAAGGTGAAATTGGATTTCTTCTTTTAAAATGCACTGATGGATCAATTATTATTTATTACATGCTATCCGCATTACATGTGAATATAAAAAAACAACAACAAAAAATTTTGCAATCCAAATCTATAGGTAATTGCTTATAGTAGTTTTCACAATTTATTCTTCCAATAATTTGAAAAATGCTCTGAAAAATGTCAAAGTTGAAAGAAAAAAAAGATTCATTTCATTATTTTCTGTGTTCTAAAAGTTAATGGAAAATCAACATTTTCTATCATGATTTCATGTAAAGCAAGGAGAAATATTTACTGGAATGTTTTATTTAGAATAAATTCTTCATGTCCGAGAATAATTCAAATAGATATAACTTGTTGTTAACATAATATTTGCGAACGTTTTCTATGCAGCATATTGTTTCAGTCCTAATACAATCAATGATAAACAATTTCACTTTCACTACTGTAGTGTTCAAGATTTGTATTTGTTTTCCAGCTGAAGCCGATTGAGTTCTTACTTGGCAGCAATACCAAACTAGGGGAGATAATTGTGCTGGGAATGTTAACACAGCTGAAAGAGGTGAGAAAACAAGCAAATAATATCTAAAATTAAATAAAAATGTTACTTCTAAAAATTAATTCTAAATTGAAATACAAGTATATTTTTTATTGATTACCAGACCTAATTTTAAAGGGATCCAAAGCAAAAAAATGAAAGGAAAAAAAGAATCTTGAATATGATATTCATTTTAACATATTGTTTGATAAATGAAGCAGTTTCTATGATAGTTACCTTATAAACCCCTGTCCTAAATTGCTAAATCTAATTTGTGTTTCAATATTTTGTATGTCTCATCCTGCAGGGTAAATGGTACCTGGAGGATCCGTCGGGAGCCGTCGCTTTGAACCTTTCTAAAGCTGTATCCTTTATTATCACACCAGATTTTTGTGTAAATTTAAGGTTAAACAGAAGGGCAGCTTAAAATTACATGTTTCAGAAAAAATTTAATTCGCCTAAAAATCTGTTAAAATCAAAGTAGCATGGAAAACCTTTGAATTTGAATATTTCCCTGTGTTGATGTCAGTCGCGTGCACTGGACACTTTCAGCAGTAGATATTTGAATATTTGACTGGGCGAAAGTTAAGGTTTCCATTATACAGTGATCACTCTAGACAGCATATGTACATAGTAATTATAACAGGAAGGATATTGACCAATCTTAGTCTAAGGAAGGACATGGTTTATATGCCAATTATACTGATTTTGATGATGGCTGTGCACTTGGTTGTTTTTCCTTACTACGTGGATCAGAACTTCCACAGTGGTTTGTTCACAGAGAACTGCTTTGTCCTAGCCGAGGGCTGGTATGAAGACTCTGTATTTCACATAAATGCATTTGGCTTCCCTCCTCCAGAACCTGCTAAAACAACGAGGTTTGTTTGGAAATTTTCGGACACTAGTGCATAATAAAATTCTTAGTTTATTGGTGAGCTTATGCCATACCGCAGCGTCCGTATTCCGTCATCAGTCATCCGTCCGTCAACTTTTCCTTTAAAACGCTAACAGTCCTGAATGGCACATTGGATTTTGACTAAATTTGGTCTGCAGTATCCTTAGGCCAAAGGCACCCAATAGGTGAAATAGAGGTAAAACCTTTAAAATCATTCTTCTACTGAGGGATAAAGGGATTTTATCATAATTAAGTTTGGAGCATCCTTGGTCCAAAGGCACTTAATTTTGTGTTAATGTAGGGTTTGAACCCCCTGGGGGCAGAGAGGTGGGGCCCAATAGTGAAATAGAGGTAAAACCTTTAAAATCCTTTTTCTACCATAGGTATAAAGGGATTTTATCCTTATTTGGTCTGGAGTATTCTTAAGCCAAGAGGACTCGATCTTGTATTATAGACGGTGGGTGTGGCCCCTTCTGTACTATTGAAGGGATTTTATCCAAATTGGCCTGGAGTATCCTTTGTCAAATTTTGTATAAAAGGAGGGTGTTGCCCCTCTGGATGCAGTGGGGTGGGGCCCAAAATGGGAATTTGAGGTTTTGGTCTTCAAAATCCTTCTTTCTCGGTACCTTTGGAGGGATTTCATCCAAATCTGGCCTGGAGCGTCCTGGGGCAAAGGGGACTTATTTTGAATAAACAGAGGGTGTGGCCCCTCTGGATGCATCTCGAGTTACGAGAATTTGAGATTTAATTCTTTAAAATCCTTCATCTTCTGTACCATTGGAGGAATTTTTGTAATAAGAATAATTTCCCATGTTTGCTTTTATTATCCAGGTGAGCGATATAGGCCCTCTGGGCATCTTGTTTATTTTCATGATATATTTTATTTTTCAAGCCTCTTTAAGCTTAGATAATATTTGTCTACATGCAACTTCTTAATTTGTGGATGCGCAAAGCTGGTTAGTCAAGTAGCAAAGCAAAATTCTACATTTAAAATTCTCCGTTACAATTGAATGTGAAAAAATTATCTTTGAGTCATTAAACAAGATTGAATAATTTGAGACCAAACCTTTCGATTATGTGAATTATAGTTTACTGTAATGAGCAATGAAGTAATAATATTATTTCTGTATTTACAGAAGTTACTTTGGAAATGTCAATTTTTTCGGAGGGTTATCCAACACAAGTGTTAAAGGGTCTGTAAGACTAAAACACATTGAGGAGGAGAATCCCGACGCCATGTTTGTATTCTTGTCCGATGTGTGGCTGGACCAGGTCAAGGTAAGAAATGACTCAGCCGTACTAAAGCCATCAAAATACGTTTTTTTCTTTCTTTCTGTCCTTAGCCATTATGCGACGGTTAGGGCTGCAATGATACATGAACATGACGATAAGATAAGTATCGCGATACTGTGGTCATGATACAATACGTATCACGATACAATACGTATCACGATACTGTGGTCATGATACGATACTTATCTCGATACATATAGTAAATCTAGAAGCAAAGAGAAAAGTTGTGCTGCAAATTTTTAATGGCAAAATTACAAATGGAAATAGACTCGGTCCAGAATGGTTATAGTGACTTTAAAGATTCACACAATTCACGTCTTTCGACATGCATACCGAGCCGGAGCTGTCACTCGCCATGTTTGAACGGACATGAGTTGATTAAATTCAGAAACAACAAAATCTGGAAAATATCGTAGGTGTATCGTAACCTCCCAAAAACTATTGTGTATTGTACCGTATTCAAAATATCGCAATGTATCTTCGCAACTTCAGTGACAATATCTTAAGAACAGAAGAAGAAAAAAACAAGAATTTTTTTCTGAGCACTGTTTGGGAACATCAACAACTATTATTGTTTCAGGTGAAGTGATATCCCATTCTTTAATCAATATTATGATCCAAATGAAACCAAATGGACAAGACATCTTTTCAAGTTTATAGTTTGTAGTCATCTGGCATGTCTGATTTCACAAGTTCGTTGTGCTTATGGGTATATTGCATGGGGGCTTTATTGATGAGTAATATTACATGATGTATTATGTATCAGTGTGAATTCCAGGACCTTGTATTTCATGGCCTCAAAACTAATTGTATCACTAGAATCTCAATAATCTCAAAAACTTTAACTTTCCAAGTTTTGCTAAATTTTACGTTTTGTTGTAGGTCCTTGAGATGCTGAGAGTACTTTTTACTGGGTATTCTGAATTTCCACCAGTCTGTTTTGTCATGTGTGGTAATTTTCTGTCTGCGCCACAAGGAGCTCAGCATGCTAAAGTGTTAAAAGGTAAATGTTCTTCATGTTACAGTGAGAACAAATGTGAAAATAAACACAGAAAGGTAAATTTGGAACTTGTTATACGCCCATCAAATTTGACAGAAGTATTATGGTATGGGGTTGTCCTTCCACCCGGCAAAAACTTTTGTTTGTCCGGCAATCTCCTCCTACATTTTTCGACCGATATCTTTGAAACTTGGTATACATTATAATCATGATATGAAGTTGTGTCTCCCCTTAAAAGAATTTTGATTCAACAATTTTTGCAAAAGTTATTGCCCTTTGTATATACCTATTCATATTCCACTTGAACAAGTCAAACAAATTTAAAAAAAAATCTTCACCAGGTTTGACAGTCAGTCTTTGGGCAGCCTTGGTGCTTTGCCCCAGGTCTGTCCAACTCCTTGTGGTTGGCTGTGATGGTCCTTCACTAATTGGTCCTTGACTGCCTTCTGTTGTGTTTCCTTTGAGGTGACATTAAGGGGCATTCATAGTGATGTTGCTATCAAGCATTTTCAGCACATGTGCAAGCCATCATAATCAATGATGTTGAATTGCCTGTACCATACAGGATGAACTCCTCTTGTGTACGGGATGTTGGTTGGTAATCTTCAATGGAGAAGATCTTGCAAGATGCACCTCAAGCAGCTGTGGTTGGAAGGGGAAAATGTGTTCACGTCTTTCTTAAAAGTTACCTTCCAAGCACTATTTGAATAATTACATTTAGTGTGAACTTGTGTTTGAAAGACATTTTAGGGTAATCAATAAGTACTCATTATGAAACCATTTTATTTGTACCAGAGGCATTCTCCAGTCTGACAGACCTGATCTCCGAGTTCCCTAACATATTAGAGAACAGCAGGTTTATCTTTGTACCAGGGCCCCAGGATCCTGGTCCCGCAGCTATTCTACCACGGTAAGTTAACGAGGTTCACTCAGTGCTGTAAAATGATACAAGTCTTTATCTAAAACCCTTTCAAAATTACTGCTGATGTCTTGAGAGGGGGAAAATGAAAATTCAGTTCAATTTTAGAATAGTTTCTACAAAATAAGAATCTATTAATAATTTATTGCTATTCCTGTAAAATTGCCAAGATAATCAGGTAAACAAAAATATGACTTTTTAATATCTTACGGATTTCTAAGTCATTTTCATCACAGCTATTTTTGATCAAGCAGAATACATGTACACCTCATGGATTAATTATTTATTAACATACACATGCTGAAATGTTGATTGATAACCAGACCGAGATAGGAAAATAGGGGAAATAAACCTGGCATCAAAAACAAATAGGAAAAGTTACTACAGGGAATCAATATTGATCAGTCTTTCTTCAAGGTCCAGGTAAGACCTTGAATTTTTAATCCTTAGAGTTTAACATTATGTTCCAAGCATGATTGGGTTTCCGTTCCTATATATATCTTACCCAGGTGAGTTAGCATTCAAATAAGTCAATATCCTATCATATTGTAGTGTCTTCCCAGGTAAGTTAGTATATATGCCCTTCATCATTCGACCCAGTTTAGCGAGTATCACAGCACTTGTCCATTTTACCCAGGTAAGTTAGTATCCCTTCATCCATTTTACTCAGTTTAGTGAGTATCTCTGCACTTTGTCCATCTTACCCAGATGAAATACAATCCCAGCCCTTGAACTGTACCCATATGAGTGAAACACAAATCTGTGTAGTACATTATTAATGGATTAACTCGTAGTAACCAGAACATGAATATGCCCTTGTTATTTTACTTTTTACAGACCTGCCATACCCAGTTCTATCATTGAGGATGTGAAGAGAAAGATTCCGTCCGCCGTCTTCACCAGTAACCCATGTCGTATACAGTACTGTACCCAGCAGATCGTTGTGTTCCGTGAGGATATTGTCACCAAGATGTGCCGTAACTGTGTCAAGTTTCCAGAGGACGGAGATGTACCTACCCATGTAAGATTCAAAAGATGCAGCAAATCATGATGCTCCCCAGGGGGACATAATAGAACTATTCAATACAGACATACCTATATTTGACTTTTTAAGTCCCTAAATGCCAAGCATCAGCTGAAAGCCTGTTGTTATATTTTCTGTACTTGCCTTATCCACAGTGATACAGGGTTGCTTCCCCTAGCGAAAAAGTGCCTCATTTTCCGAAAATGAAAAAAAAAAATGAAAAATGTCTTCCCAATTTCAATAAAAATAATGCAATACAGTATACAGGGAAATTTTCACCACAGTTTAACTTTAGTCTGTTTTGTCCTCCACAATAAGGACAAACTTATCATTACAACGAATATTAGTAAACAACATAACGTGTACAGGAATTATATTTGAAGGGCAAAATTAATGCTGGCAAATATGGATTTTAATGGTGGTAGGCGCAAATTTGACAGGGCAAAGTTTTCCCAGTATATAGTATTTTCCCAATTAATGTAGGGACAGGCAGATGGAAAATTTAAGTACGAAAAACACTGCATAGAGAAAGTTCTCTTAAAGAATTTAAAACTGGAATAAAATACTGTACATGTGACATCTTTAAAGGTGAATTGCATCTCAGTTACCTCCCTTTGCAACATTTTTTAGTAAAATATATAATATCTGTGACTGTTTCAGTTTGCTAAGACCCTGATTGCTCAGGGACACCTGTGTCCCCTGCCCCTGCACGTATGTCCTGTGTACTGGTCACATGATGCGGGGCTACGACTTTACCCTCTACCCGACCTTGTGGTGTGTGCTGACAAATTTGACCCCTTCCACAAGACCTCTGTTGATTGTACAGTCATGAACCCGGTAAGTCACTTTTAACTTAGTTTCTTGTCAAGCAAGAGGTTTACATGGATTTGTATGATCTGTTGCATGCAAAACATGACACATAGAGGTTGAAACAATCCGTCAGTCATCAGCACATCAGATGAGTTGGTATAGGGCCTTTGCTACTAGTACAGATGCTGAGGGTTTGCCAGGTATTGTGGAAATGGGAGGTTGTCTGAAAAATGGGAAAATTTGAAAGTTTAATTTTACTCAACATTGACATACGATGTCTATGCATATTATTCCTGTAATAAAATGTATGCTGCCAACAGGAACTTAATTTCTCGCTCGTGTTGTAACAGTAATATAATCTAGGTGTTTCAAACGCCTTGCTGCTTTCAATTGTGATAATTCAAACACACAAGAAACCAGGACTAGTCAAACATATAGCGATCACAACACACGTGGATTCAGGGTAGCCTACGCTACCTGTCAAAGATGTTCTAGATCACCGCTTGGTAACTATTGGTATTAAATAGGAGGTGAACTTATAATTAATCATCAGAATTATTTTGACACTAGTAGCTGTCAGATATGGAATCCAGGTTGGGGGGGAACCAAAATTATCTTCAAGCATTAGGGTTTTCTGGAATTTCCTTTAAAGAGAGATAATGAAGTTATACTTGAATAAATTTTCAGTAGTTTTCTGATTCACACATGAATCACATGTCCATTATAGATTGTAGAATATCTCCCCAGAACAGTGATTGTGACCTCATCATAAAGGTTGATCTGACATACTTCATTCTAAATTGAGATTTCAAGAAAAAAATTGGCTAACCATGATTAATATTTCTTTTCATTTATGATATTGCGTCTTTCAACCCATGCATGAATATTAGCTGTGTTGTTCATTGTAAATTTGTCTGGCATTTATGGATTAAGTGAGGTATTTGTGGAGATTCAAAATGATGAAAAAAAAATATAAAAGCAAAAAATAATAGATTTGAATTTTATATAGTAAAGTGATATATATTGCAACCTGTTTAAAACAGGACCCTGTATTAACCAGATCTTCAACTTAAGTCCCACTATTTATATTTATATCAGTATTGAATGGGGTAGTCTGGAAATCTGTCTGTCCTGAACAAAAAATGCTTTTCCATGTAGTGTTTGGTTTAGATGCCGCATAGCAGAATATTTCTGCAGGGATGATATTTTTACAATTTGGCAGGTCAATTACATGATCCGGAGAATGATAAGACAAGCGTAGAAATGAGCTGCAGTAATTAACTTAATAACTGTAATTTAATGTCGCCATGAAATAGTGGCATGTGGTTGTGACGTTTCACATACATGTACATCAAGAGTAATGATGTTTGAAAATAGACTATATCACACATCTAATTGTTTTGTTGATGATTTGTTTCGCAAAATACATTAACTTGTTGTTTCTCAGTATACTGTCATAAAACCTATTCATTTGAGACTTTATGTGCCAAGTGCTAAAACACCACGAAATTATAATCTGTGTAATTTCAGTTTTCTTATTTTGGGAGAAATCGTGAAAATTGAAGCCTGCTTAGATAACATGATATAGGTTTGGTTTTGTAGGCATGGTATACAAGTCTGTAATGTGGTTTCTGGTAATGACCAGGGGTATAATATCCACAGACGGGAAAAACTGGCTTACACATTTAAAATCTATGTATGCCAAGTGTCAATAAAGTAAAAAGTATCCACCTGAATAACAAAAATAATGTATTTCTTTGACATTACTTGGTCTTTGGGAAACATGGAAAAGCCAACTCGGGCAATGATTCTGATATTACCCCCTTGGATTCATACCTTTGCCATCATCAGATCCTTCCTCCTATGCATTCTGAAACTACCCCTTGGGTTTATACCTTTGCCATCATCAGATTCTTCCTCCTACTGTATGCGTTCTGAAATGCAGACGATGAAGAATTTGAAAGCTGACTTTAATTTCATACATATACACAAAAAGTTGATACATCTTACGTGTGAAATAACCTGGTTGACAAACAGGAGCTTTTTTTCCCTTGAATATGTTTTGGTCAGTTTGTTAGTATTTTTTTTAGTCACCAAATAAGTATAAGAGTTATTCCCCTTAGCAGGATTTGCACAGACCTAAGACCTGTTGGTATGTGTAATCCATTCCTGAAGTTTTGTCTTTAATTGACTAAATGATCTTTAGCTTGCCTGTTTGAAGGACAGAGATCTAGAGCTTAATCTATCCCCAGACATTGACATGGGACAGGTTACAGTTTTCGGGGTAAATTACTTGAAAGCTTGCCATTGCTTCAATATGTGTGCTGGACATGTTGATATTTGACATGGAGGTTTATGAGGGGTTTACCATTGATGCGTTGAAGCCAAAATAAAATATTTTCAATTTTTAAGCTCACCTGATTGAAAGATGGGTAAGCTTATAGTTTGACTTAATGAAATTAAAGGTAATTAGGTATGGGATATCCCATGAAGAAGAAAATTCAATGTTGTTTAACTCATTCATCCCTACATATTTAATCTGGACTTGCCCAGTCTTTGATTTGGTAAGGTTCAAATGCGACTTTAGGCGTGAATCGGTTAAACGAAGGGTGAGGCTTTCCTTAGGAGCAGACAGGCTAGGCCTACCAGTGGATATGACCAGTTATTGCCCTCCACTCTATGAAGTTGGCAGGTGATGTAGAAACAAACCCCATCCATCCCGTCCTCTGTACGTTTAGGAAATTAATTCAGTCCATATCTTGGCAACTGTTAAGTGCTACATAGTCTATAGATAATACTTTACTAACTGCAAGCCGCAGAAGCACATTAAGAAAACATTTAGTTTATATCTGAGTAAAAAAATGGATATAATTGCTTCAATGCTGCAGCTAGGGTTGCTCTGTTGAATGCATGTTGCGGATGCTGAGTTTGACCTACATAACATAATGCGGTTAAGCTTCTTAAGATCCCATTATATATCTCATTAAGAAGAATCGTTAATGGATAATACTTCCAAAATTTGACATATATTTTATGTTTCAGTGAATTCAGAAAAAAAAATTCATGTATTAGCTTAAGAATTGCTGTACCTCTGCGAAAAGCTGTAAATACACTCGTATTGAAAGTCACATGGGGTCAAATATGTTAAAACATTTAAATGACAATTACTAAATAACCAAAAGGCGTAAGTTGATGATATTTGGCAGCATGCTGGAATGAAGGCCTATCAAGTTTGTTCAAATAAATGACCTTCACCCATGTTCAAGGTCACATGTCAAGGGATCAAGTGTTTGAAAACCTTTAGAAACAACTTCTTCTGAAGAACCTAGAAGCCTTGGGTAGTGACATTTGGACAGTAGCATGCTGGGAAAGAGAGTTATCTTGTTTGTTCAATTAAATGACCTTCACCTATATTGAAGGTAAAGGAGGTTAAATAACCTATAACCTTGAATGATTTCTTCTTAATAACCAAAAGGTGTAGGGTGATGATATTTTGCCAGAAGTATGCTGGGATAAAGGACTACCAAATTTGTTCAAATAAATTACCTTTGCACATATTCAAGGTCACAAGGGTCAAAAATATCAAAACCCTAAGTAGCATGTTGGGATGAAAGGTTTGAAAAGTTTGTTCAAAAGAATTACCTTGAATCATATTCAAGGTCTCAGGGGTCAAATATGTTAAAACTTGAAACGACATCTTCTGAATAACCAAAATGGAAAGGGTGATGATATGTGACCAGTAGCATGATCAGATGATCATGAAGAGCTATCAAGTTTGTTCAAGTGAATGACTGACACACTTTCAAAGTTACATCTGATCAATTGTGTATAAAACCTTTAAAAGTCATCTTCTCAATAAATTGCGATCTGCTATGAAGGGCTATAAAGTTTGTTCAACTTAATGTCCTTGGTTGGATATCAAGGTTGTGGGGGTCAAGTGTGTTTAAATCTTTTAACAGGTGCTTTTGAATGACTTTGAGTGAAGACGCTGATATTTTGCCTGTAGCTATATTTTTGTCTTCTCTAATGGTAACAAGTGTGAGATTAATACTGGGTGAACGATGCAGGCCCAAAGAGCCTCTTGTTAAAATATATGACACCTAACCTGCTTTTAAGGTCACAGATCAAATATGCATAACATTAAAATAATTTCTTCTGAATAACTAAGAAACCTAGGTTCATGATAAATAGTGTATGTTAATGGTGTAAGGTACTTTGAGGCGTGGAATTTGAATGAAGTATCTCGACGAACTTCGAAGGTTAGGTTATTAAAAAAATCTATCAGCCAAGATTCATGAGTAATAAAATCTTCTATCAAAGAGGCATTGTGTGTAGATTAATGACTTATTAACATATTGGAACAAAATTGACCTTGACTCTTATTTAAGGTCACAGTTGTGAGATGAAATAACAGGTTAGCAATAATTAGGCCTCTTGTATTTAACGAGAACACTGCTTGATATAACTACATTGTTTTATAACTTTTATTTCTGTAACATTTTACTGAGAGAGGGAGGTAGAAGTTAGCCTGTGGCTTACAGTTCTAGTTACACCTCATTTTACCAGTTCAGGTTATAGATCTGTGAATCCATAGACCTAAAGTATGTGTATATTCAACACTGCATTTATAGCTCACCTGGACCAAACGGCCCAAAGTTTCTTTCCCACCCAAACAAGATTTAGTCCTTCTTGCAGCTTGTATTTCTTGTACACCTTTGATAAACTGGTATGACACTCAGTAGGTTTTAAATTGAAAATAAAACACCAGGTGAGCTGTCTGGTATTAAGGCCCCTGGGCCTCTTATTTATAGTTTCTTCATTTGAGCATCTCTCATCCTGTCTTAAGTTGGTTTTAGTAATCTACAATACAAATGTAAACATGTGAAAGCAGAAAAGATGTAATATGAATAACAACATTGGTGCCAGCTGTTTCTGATGTTAACGTTACCCAATCATTTCTTAGTTGAATTTGAGGTCATTATATCCCACTAATGAAGAGAAAAGAGAAAGCAAGGGTCTATTTGATT